ATATTTTTGTGATGAATTTCAAAATAAGCATAAGCCATGTGCAACTGAATAATGTCACTGTCCTAGAAAAGGTACTTGTGCTAGACTTTAAATATATCAGCTTTGAAATGTCACTTACAGATTGTTTCTATGGTATCAACCTATTTAAAGTTGTAACTGAGCAAGGATTTTTTTCTCCCAAATCTTTTGAAAGCAATATGGAAAAGGTGCTGTATGACACAGGCTCCGTCAGGGCAGGGGAAGGAGGGCAAGAGAAGTGTGGATTCAGGTGGTGATATCTCAGAAAAAGAGATGATGTTTATATCTTTGTGACCCTGAACAGACAGGACTCACTCTATAAGTATCAGCTCAAATAACTTGAAGGAGTGATGTGAGGGCCCCATGAATGGTAGAGCAGAGAAAGCAGAGCCCTGGAATTATGAACTCCTGAGTTCCAGACCTGGCTTTGTCTATAAACTCGCTGTGTTTTCCTGATCACATCCCTGGTAGCACAGCCTCCTCCATTGCCTCATCTGTGCAAATGAAGGGGTGGATGGATGAGTGTCCCAGGGCCCTGCCAGGCGCCTGCCCAGGAGTTGTTGCCTGGCAACCCTTTCTGGGAAGGCTCCATGTCTGAGCACCTCATTGGAAATCTAGACACGGGCCTGGATGTCCCTGAGTCCCAAAGCAAGGGTTTTTCTAGGCAGTGATTACAGACCAGGCTGGGTGTTAGATCCTGAATCTAAACCTCTGACCACTTCTCTCCTTGCCTTTCCTGAGGCTTGGCATTTGAACCCAGATGTCCTGAAAACTACTGAGCAACGGGGATGAAAGACCTTCCATGTGAAGAACGTGAACAGCACCTTTAATTAAAAATAAGTTTTACAGAAAATATTTTTCTCTTCTTTGAGACTAAATTGTGTACTTGATACTCTATCACCCCCCCACAAAATACTTTTAATATTTCAAAAACAAAAGACATTCTCCAATGTAATCACAGCACAACACCCAAAATAAGAAAACTACGATGGAGACCTCACTCTTTAAATTTGTCAGTTTTCCCGTAACTTCTGTCGTAGGGCCTCCCCGGTGGCGCAGCGGTTGAGTGCTGGGTTGCGAAGCTGCCTGCAGCCTCTGCAGCGCCGGTTCAATCCCCGGCTGCTCCCCGGCCACCAGAGGAGGGTCCCACATGGCGCGCAGACCTCTCCTGCCGCCCGCTGCTCCCCTCAGCTGTGTACTTCGGTCCTTCTGCCTGCTCTGCTCCCCGCTCTGGCTCTGGTGAATTCTCTCACCCTCCCGTGCTTCTGACTGTACCCAGTGCTTGTATAAACAAACAAACAAACAAACAAATAAAACATGCCTCTATTAAAAAAAAAAAAAAAAAAAAAAAAAAAACTTCTGTCGTAGCAAAAAGTCCAGTGTGGTTCCTTTAGTCTCCTTGAGTCTGGAACTGTTCCAGGGTCTTTATTTGGCCTTCATGACCAAAACACTTTTGAAGATTACAGTAGAATATCTACTTATTTGGGTTTGTTTGACATATTCCAGTGATTTGACTCAGGGTATGCATCTTTGGCAGGGGAATAGCATAGCAGTGACTTCAGAGCAATCACATCAAGCGGTACGTGATTTCAGTTTGTCCCATTCTTGAGGATGTACAGTCTGATCACTGGATTACAGCCTCACTCTTAATGATCCCACAACAGTCCACAGTTTCCTTCTCTAGAGGCCACATGGTGGGGTTCATTTGGTGAATTCATTCACCATCAAAGTAACTGCAGCTTCATAAAGTCTTGATGTAAAGTTACAGACACAGCTAGAGAGAAGCCAAGTTGACTTTTATTTTTGAGTTTGGGCTATAATTAGATGCATATATATCTGTGGGAATATAGTCAAAAGTTTATCTCCTGGGCCCTCCCTGGTGGCATAGAGGTTACGTCTCAGCACTGTCATCCCAACAGCCTCAATTCAATCTCTGGTCAGGGAGCTAACCCAAATGACACAGTAGACTTCTCCTGTCTGGCCTGCTGCTCCCCTCAGCAGTATATTTAGTAGATCCTCCTATTCTGCTCCCTCCTCTGTCTCTGGTGAATCTTCTCACCCTCTATACCTCTGGCCTACACCCCAGTTCTTGTATGCATAAATAAATAAAAATAAATCTTCACTAAAATAATTTTATCTCCTGTTTCCCCTAGCTCAGCTTCCTAGTGGACCACTTAGTCTGTTACTCTCCATCCCTGGCCTTCTCCCCCACTAAGACCTCACTTCCTAGTTTCTTTCCTAAGTATACACTATCTGTCAGGAACAGTGATACCACATGTTATCACATGTGACACCACAAGTCATATCCAGAAGTTTTAGCTCTGGAAAAGATACTATCTATTCTACCCATCTTTCACAAGTCTGTGGATTCCAACTAACATTACTGAATCAGTGTGTCACCAAGTCCCTGGATCCACAGTTAACAACTCCCAAATGATGGGTCACATTTATATCTTGTTTCTTTGTTTCTGGAAATAATTTGGTTCAATAGAAGGTAAATGAAGATTATTTAAATCACACCATGTGAGTAAATGAGGATGGGTAAATGAAGACTATTTAAGTCACACCATGGTTAGTATTTAATGGCTTCATGTAATACCAACCATGGGAAGTTGACTCCAAGTCTTTTGACTGCAGGGCTCTATGAATGCCCCAACTGCCTCCTGTATCTTTTCAACATGTGGAAGATAGAACACATGCAAACTTCAAAGCTAACACTTCCTGAGTTCCTACTATGTACCAGGTACAGTTTAATTATTTCCTATTTTTATATCTTTGGATCTTCAACCATTTTGCATAAAATATCATGAGGTGTCGAGAGAGATGTATGATTTGAACAAGGTCCACAGTTAATAAGTGGCATAACTGAGGTTGGAACTCCAGGATCTGAGTGCCTATAGATTTCCAGAACCTGTGAAGGATCCCTTGTGAGGGGTGGTGCCTGTTTGTTCACTGTATTCCTTGAGTCTAGCAAAGTGTGAGCATGCAATAAATTATTAGATTGTTGAATGAATACATTTATTTACCAACCTGTTAAAAAGGAAGATGAAGAGACTTCCAGGAGGGAATACACAGGAATTTCTAGTTTGCCTACTTAACCTCATTTCCTCAAACTCCTATAGAAGGCAACTGCTCTGTGCCCACAGTGGTTTTAAAACTGAAGGAACCCTCAGATGCAAGGCTTGATAGGCTTGGTATCACAGATAGGCTTGATCCTCATTATTACCATGGCATGGCATGTCCCAGCCCCCTCATTGTTTCACACTGTTCCTTATGTTAGGGGGAAAAGGATGTCCTAAAGCTAATTCCATACAGGCTTTGTGGACTCCACCTCCACCCCAGGCTAAAGCCAAAGACACTGGGAACTCCAAATCCCATCACCACCAAAGGGAAGGTGGCTGGTGGCTGGGAAGGTGGTGATCCCATTGTTATAGAGCAACCCCGATACAAAACAGGGTGCCTGACTGTGGATCCTCACCCCTGCGCTTAAAAGGACTTATCAATGCTCCACTGCAGGCACACGTGAAAGGTTAATAAAAGGTTTATTTACAAGGGGGAGGGAAATGAGGAAATGTACAGCTCAGGAGAAAAGTGGGAGACAAAGTTTTAAATGAGTCCTACCCGGTCCGCTGATCTGGAATCCCAAATGGCGCTCTGAGAGCTGGCTGCAAGCCAGGAGCCATGAAGCCAGGAGGCCTGCGATAGCGAGCCCCCCCAAGGCCCACGTGTTTGGTTTTTATACCCAACCTGGCTGCTTAACTCCACCCTCAGGTCCCAGCCACCCTCCCTTTGGTGGTGATGGGATTTGTCTTTCCCAATGTCTTGATGGCTTTAGTCTGGAGTGGGAGTGGAGTCCACAAAGCCTGTATGGGATTAGCTCAGGACATCCTTTCCCCCTAACACCATCACCACCAAAGGGAAGGAGGGTGGGGTTAAGCAGCCAGGTTGGTATAAAGCCAGACACTTGGGCTTTGGTGGGTTCCCCCATTTTGGCTCTCCTTCAGCTCGTAGCTTCTGGCCAGCTCTGAGGGTGCCTTTGGGTTTCCAGATCAGCAGATCGGGTAGGACGCATTAAAGACTTTATTTCCCTATTTCCTCCCTGAGTTGTACATTTTCCTTATTTCCTTTTCCCTTGTAAATAAACCTTTTATTAACCTTTTGTGTGTGCCTGTAGTGGAGTATTAATAAGTCCCTTTTAAGCGCACGGGTGAGGACCCACAGCCAGGAACCCGTTCAATATCAGGGCTGCCCTATAACACAACTATGCTAGGATTTAGTTCTATTATCTCCATTTTACATATATATTTTAATTTTTTAAAAGATTTTATTTATTTATGCACACAAGAGCTAGGGTACAGGCCAGAGATGCGGGGTGGGGGTTGAGACGATTCACCAGAGACAGAGTGGGGAGCAGAACAGGCAGACCGACTGAAACACACTGCTGAGGGGAGCAGCGGGCGAGACAGGAGAGGTCTGCCAATCCCTGGCCGGCCGGAGATTGAACTTGTGCTGCAGAGGCTGCGGATCGCTTCATAGTGCGGTGCTTAACCCCTTGCGCCACCAGGAAGGCCCCATTTTACAGACAGGGTCAGGTAAAGCCGTCTCCTTGGGCCGACATGGCTTGGTGACGTCCACACCCGTCATCACAAGTGGAGCGGTGTTAATAAGTCTGTGCAGCAAGGAGCCGACTTTTCTGGGCATCACCGCCATCCCTTTCCCCGCCATTCCGGGCCCTGAAAACACCCGTCTCTTGTCTAGTATCTACCACCTCAGCTCGACAGTATAGACCCAAAGCCGCTCTAGGCCTCCGTCTTTGCCATGGCAACCAGCGCTCCATTTCCGCAGTTGAAACGTCATTTCCGGAGCGTCGGTTTCCACACATCCGGGTTCCGGCCGCCTGAGCGGCGCGCTTGTCGCTCGGGGTGGGACCCGGGCTTCGGGGCCCTGGACGCTGTAGCGGTGAGTGGGGCCTGGGACGGGAAGGGGACGAGAGGCGTCTGCCTCCGTAGGAGTGGGCGCGAGGGCCCGAGGAAGTGGGCTCCGGCCTGAGGGGCCGGAATTCCGTCTCGCAGACAACCCAGCGCGACCGGGAACGGGGCGAAGCCGCGCCAGGTCAAGGGGAGTCCGGGCCGGGCTGTGGGAGCCGAGCTCCGCGGAGTAGCCGGCGCAGCGGGGAGAGACGCCTCAGCCTCACGTCAGGCGTCCTGGGTGTCGGGACCGGCCAGCCGCGGAACTTCGGGCAAGTTGTTTGGCTTCTCTGTGTAGGGTAAGGAAAAATGTCAGGCTTTTCTGCCCTCCCGCCATCAGGATAGATGATGGATCCTTGCGGTCCTGAATGCATGCCTGATGGCGGCACCTGGAATAGGGTGTGGGCCTAGGTAAATGGGATTCATCTGGGCTGAGACTGGGCTTTTAAGGGTGGTGTCACGGGGACGCCAGCAGAAGCCGCAGAGGAGTCAAGAGAGAAGCAAAGAAGCAGAGGCAGAGAAGCCCAGAGAGAGTGCGGATCTGCTGGGGGCTGGGAGGACTGCCAGCCTCCCGGCCCCCCAGCACCTCTTCCTGCCATATGCCTGGTGAACCCCAATAAAAGACCTGCAAAACCCCTGAGGGCTCTGACTACTCCTTTACCCGGTCTGCCTGGGATCAGAAAACCTGCTCAGTGACCATTCCTACATCTGAGTCTCAGTTTTCTTACCGGAAGGTTAGAAACAGTGTTAGTACCTGCCTGGTGGAAATGTCTTGATTTAGATCAGCCGGAAAAGCCCAGCAAGTATTTAGCACCTCCTGACGGTTCTGATGCCAATTCTGGTTATTACCATTGCCCTGTGCCCAAGCAGGCAGCGGCAATGTTGCCTCCCATGGAGCTGGGACTCCACCTTCTCTGAGAGCAGCCTCCTTTCTACTCCTGGGTGAGATTGGGACCAGCTGCATCCAGTAGTGCACCTGTGAGTAGACTAGGGAGGGCTTTCAGGCAAAACCGGCCTGCAGCAGTGGAAATTGTAACTGGAACAATTAGTAGATAAGAATCCATCCCTACACTGGCAAGGGGCAGCGTGCCTGCCTGCGACTATGTAGGTGTCTTTCTCCTTTTCCTAATAAACCTGCCCCTTTATTTTTTTTTATTTTTATTTTTTATTTAGAGCTTTTACATTATTGTTCATCTTGTTACAGTGTATGCTTGTATGCTTTCTCCTTTTAGGTGTATTCCCGGTAAAATTCCCTCCCACCACTTCTTCAGTGAACCATCACCATAGTCCCTTGTGCTCTTCTCTCCCTTTTAGCCCCTTTTCCTCCCCTTCCCTCGCAGAATATATCTGATTTATGGTTACCTGCTAATTTTGTTGTTATTATTATTATTTTTCCTCATCCCTTATTTAGTTCCCCTGTATTCCTCCTATGGATGTAACCATCTGATATTTTTCTTTTTCCCCTGTCTTATTTCACTAAGCATGATCCCTTCTAGCTCCATCCATGTTGCTGCGAATGGCATGAGTTTCTCTTAGATTGCTGAGTAGTATTCCATTGTGTATATATCACATCTTCTTTAACCAGGCATCTGTTTTTGGGCATTTGAGTTGTTTCCATAGCTTACCTGTTGTAAATAGTGCTTAATAAACCCGTCCTTTTAAAATGTAAATTTGAAAAATCCATCCTTGGCGCATAATGAGTGTATCACTAATTGGTGCACCAGACCAGGCACTTGAGGTGCATTTAATACTCATCTATGCTGAGTACCCAGCAGAGTTGGGATTTGAACTTAGGCTGCGATTTTCAGCACCTGATTTTACAGTCACGTTGTGCTCATTCTGTAATCTCATGACGGTGATGATGAGCCTCGTCGTGGGACTGCAGTTACAGGTGTTGTTTCTGGAGCACTGTCTTGCTGAATCTGCCTTAAAAGAATTCTCAGAGGTTGGGCTGGAGCAAGACTTAATCCATTTTTAAGAAAGACAACTGAATCACCACCCAGCTACCAAGAGTTAGATTCTCTGTAGATGTCTGTTACAGTTGTGCTTATAATTACTACTGCTTTCTAGCTATTGGGGGAGGTTCGTGCTTGGGAGGAAAAGTAGGCTATGGGGTTGTCTTATTTCGGAAAGCATATTCTAAAACATGACTTCTGGGATTTCAAAGGGGTCAGGTAAAATTCAACAGCAGACAAAAATCTGGAGTCCAGGGTGATGTCTTCCCAGTTTTTGAGGTAGTAATGCTTAGAACAATGTAGGTGTTATGTGGTTTGTGTACATGTGGGTGTGAGGTTTATTAAGCACTATTTACAATTTTAGACATGAGGTCAAGGAAATCCATGCTTGTAGACTGGTGGGACTTATCTTTTCTGCACCTGCTTTAGCACTGGTTGCTTTCTAAAATATATTTTTAATGTCTGCTTCATTGAACTGTAACAACAGTTTAATGGACATTGAGTTTGGAGGAGGTTCTAAAGGTTGCAAGGAGTAGGGCAGTTACTTACTAGGGAAGGCCTCTCCTCCTGCCCCTGGGTCTTAACACACTGTGCCCTCTTTTGTCCCTTTCTTTAGTGACTAGCCATGTCACTGTCCCACCTGTACCGGGACGGGGAAGGCCACATGGATGATGATGAGGATGAGCGAGAGAACTTTGAGATCACAGACTGGGACCTCCAGAATGAGTTCAACCCCAATCGGCAGCGCCACTGGCAGACTAAAGAAGAGGCCACTTATGGAGTGTGGGCAGAACGGGACTCTGATGAAGAACGGCCCAGCTTTGGAGGCAAACGGTATTGTTTGGCATGGGCTCTTTCTGTAGAGAAGGAGGAGGGGAGGTGGGCATACCCTCTAAAGATAGTTCTCTGCTAAATATAAATCTCTTACTGAGTCCCTTAGCTCTGGCATCAGCTAGGGAGGTCCAGTTTTCTCTTTTGGCTGGACCACAGCTCATTCACTGATTTGATTGGCAGTTGGTGCTTATTGAGCAATTATGTGCATTAGAACTTAGGCTGCAGACCCAGGCTTTCGTCTTTCAAGAGCCAAGACTAATGGACCGGGACAGGCTAATGGATCCTGTGATTTAGGATCACGGGAAAGTGCTTACTCGGGTGCCTGACCTATTCTGGGAGATCAGGGAAGATTTCTATGGAGCGGTGACCCTTGAACTGATTATATGAAGGCAGAAGCTGGGGTGGCAAGGGAGGCATGAGTAAGCAGAGACCCTTGATGGGAGGGAGTGGTGGGTTAACGGAGAGAGGGAGCATAGCTTAAGAAAAGACCTGTAGTGGAGAGGGCGGGACGTGAGGTGGAATTATATTTGAAGAAGACCCTTTGCAGGTGTGTGAAATGGGCAGAGAGCCATAGTGAAAGTGGGGCTGTAAAGAGGCTGAGGCAGTGGTCTCTGCAGGAGTGGGGGCCCAGGCTAGGATGGTGGCAGTGACATGAGGATTCAAGCTGAAAGTCTCCTCCTCCGTGTGAAGTCCTGTATATGTGTGTCACAGCTCACTCAGAGAGTGTGTCACACGTTTGGGTTTGTCTCCCTCTCCCCACTTGTGGCCTGTAGGCTCCAGTCAGTCGAGATTGCCTTTTTCACAAAGAAAGGAAAAGACAAAGAGCATAGAGATCAGTCTGACCCCTTCTTGTTAGGCAAGGAAGTGTGAAAGTGGGTGCTAAATGGATTAGCGGTCTGGGTTTGTGTGAGCGTAAGTTAATGAGTGAGCATAAGTTACTCACAGCCAGTGTCTGTTGGCTGCTTATGTGTTCTGAGTTCTTCAGTGTGTAATGTCTTTACTTAATGGGAAAGCTGTCATTATCATCACCACATTTTTAATAATTAAAATGAAGAAACTGGGCAAAAGTCACACAGCAAGGCCATGTGACTTTGAATCAACTGCACTGATGTTGGTAGCTCCCTACCTGTAGAGTTGACTTGAACACATCAGGTAAAACTGCTAAATGTGATCACAAGAAGCTAAATCTGAGGCCCTTTAATTAAGTAAACATGTTGCTCTTTTAAATTGCATGATGTCTGCGCTGAGGAATTTTCTGGCCAGCAAAGTTTTTTTTTTTCTTTTTTTTTTAAGATTTCTTTATGCATACAAGAATTGGGGTACAGGCCAGAGGTTGGGGGGCGGGTGAGAGGATTCATCAGAGACAGAGTGGGGAACAGAACAGGCAGGTCGACTGAAATACAATGCTGAGGGGAGCAGTGGGTGAGTCAGGATAGGTCTGCCGCGCCATATGGGTAGCTCCCTGGCTGGGGATCAAACTTGTGTTGTAGTGGCTGTGGACAGCTTCATAGGTTGTGTCTTAACCCCTTGCGCCACCAGGGAGGCCCACTAGCAAAGTTTCTTTAAGGGATGGTGGCAGGAGGGTTTTTTTGTGGACCCCATGTGATGTGTTTGCCGACAGAGCCCGTGACTACTCTGCACCAGTCAACTTCATCAGCGCAGGACTCAAGAAAGGGGCAGCAGAGGAAGCAGAGTTGGAAGATTCCGATGATGAAGAGAAACCTGTTAAGCAGGAAGACTTTCCTAAGGATTTTGGACCAAAGAAGTTAAAAACGGTAGCATTTTTGTTCCAGGCTTGTGACCTTTGTAATATCCTGGGGAAGTCATTGCTGCCCAAGTGTCTCCCAGGAAGGGGTGAGGTGGAGTCTCAACTGGAGGTTGATTGCCTGAGTATCTCCTTATTGGGCAGGTTTCAGTGAGGTGTAAAGTGCAGTTTCTTCTTTCCTGACATGTCACAGGTAGATTTTTGCCATATATACACTTTTCGTGGTGCACTGAGTTGCCACACCATTTTCCTATCGACCAAGCTTACTTTCTTAGATTTTCTTTTTTCTTTTCTGACAACTAAGCTTTGATATTTCTTCTTTTCAGGGTGGCAATTTTAAACCCAGCCAGAAAGGTTTTGCAGGAGGAACCAAATCTTTCATGGACTTTGGCAGCTGGGAAAGACACACAAAAGGAATTGGACAGAAGCTTCTTCAGAAAATGGGCTATGTCCCTGGAAGGGGTCTTGGGAAGAATGCCCAAGGTACGGTCCCTCGCCCCTGCCCCCTCACCCTAACGTCCTGCATGACAAAGGGAAGAAGTGCAGTTTGGGGAGTGGATTCTGTTGTTTCTGCTTTTTCTCCTTTAAAAGTCCTTTAACTCTGCAGTATGGTCTGTCAGCGCGGGACCGCTTGTGCTCCTCAGCTACCACACTTTATCAGAACTCAAATAAAAGACTTATTTCAGTAGGAGGAAAAGGACTGTGGCAAAGCGAGGCTGCAGACTGATAGGCCTGGACTGACCAGTATTAACTAAAAAAATTGAATGAGTTGTCCATATTTAAAAATCAGACAATTTCACCTAGAGTTTGCCTGGCAGAGTTGCCTTAGCTTAGTCGTAGCAGCCCCAGAACAGTGCACGTGACTTTTGTTGGAAGGAGTCTCCACTATTCTCTGTTGTCTCCTTTGCTCAACCCACTTGTCCTTGTATATATCATTTTTCTTGGGCCCTGCATGCATGAGTTTGCAGTCGTGCTCAGTAAAGTTTCAGTTTTGCAGAAATAGTTGTTTGTCCTTAAGGACTCTCAATAAATACTGTGTATACCTCTTCAGTAGCTAGAGAGACGGAGCTGTGATTTAAGCAGGTCTGTGTTGGTTCCCTCCACCCTTGATCCATAGCCCCAACTCCTCTAGACCTCCCAGCCCCCACCCCCTCAAATATAGCTCCTCTCACACATTCTCTTCTCCCAACACCAAAGCCCTGAAACCAAGCAGGTGGATTCTGCAGGAATCTATCTTCCTTGTGACCTAATGCCTGTGAACAGTTGCCAGCCGGATAATCACTATTCTCTATATTCATATTCTACTCTAATAAATAGCGATTATGTGTTGAAAACATTAACTGTATCAAGAATCTGTGAATGAATGAAGATCAGAGTGGTGACTTGGAATGAGAATGAAAGGACTTCTCATTTGAGATTTCAACAGTAGTAACTGGAAGAGAGGGTGGTGGAAAGTTTGGAATTGGGGGATTGTCACTGAAATGTAATTCTGTTAGTAAGCTCTTTTATAAGATAAACATTCATTTCCAAGGTGTAAACACATTATAGAACATTAAGCACAGGAGAGATGAATTACTCAAGTAGATGGCATTTCACATTAAATTGTGGCTTCACCTGACTTCATCAAAATTGCTGTCATCTGAATTGCTGCGCTTTCCACAGAGGCTTCCTTCCACATGTGTGAAACATCCAGTTTAGTATGACCAAGTTCAAGTTGTGACTGAGTTGTTATCTTCCTGTCCACTAAAAAATGAGTTCAAGTGCAAGTGGAACTCTATTTGGTACATATGTGGTCTAGATAACTGTTCTGTGGCAGCATAAATGCTCAGGAGTCTCAGATGACATGGGACCTGAGTAGTGGTCTGAGCAGAGAGGAGTTCTCTTCCTGGGTAGCGTGTTGGGATGTGTAAGGACAAAGGAGGTGTGATTTCACTGAGTGGCTTAGTCAAATACAAGAATTGCTGTGATATGAACTCTCCCTTTTATCTTTTCCTGAAATGTGCCAGGTATCATTAACCCAATTGAAGCCAAGCAGAGAAAGGGGAAAGGCGCTGTGGGCGCTTACGGCTCGGAGCGCACCACCCAGTCCCTGCAAGACTTCCCTGTGGTTGACTCGGAAGAAGAAGCTGAGGAGGTAACCATAAGTCAGGGTCCTGAGTGGGTGGCATCACCACTGTCACTGTAGATTGTTGTGTGGCAGTGTTCAGTTGTCTGTTACTTTTCAGTGTCTTGTACACCTGCGGGCCAGGCATGGTGGAGGCTGGGTGTATCCGCACACACCGGCCTAGAGCCTGTGTGTCAGAGACAGATGGTAAAGAAGCAGTTGCAGTGCTTTTAATAATAGGGTTCTCAGGGAAGACCTTGTTAGGGAAGGAACCATTTCACTTGACGCCTGGTGGGGGAAAAGGCCCCAGCCTTAAGGGAGTTGCGAGTCCAGCGGACACTGAGTGGCAGCCCCGAGCCCGATGATGAAGATACATAAAGGAGACCGTGTGACCAGGTGGTAGCATGCCAAGCAGCCGGGACGAAGGTCAGGGCGAGGTGGGTGGGCTACACCACCAGACATTGAAGGCCAGCCTAGGTGCTAGGGTTTCACTGCACTGAACAGCAGGAGCCATCTGCTGCCAGCTGTGTGTTGCTTTGTTTCAGTGATACAGGGCTGGCTATCTTGATTGAATTGTTACTTTTTTCCCTTTGCATTGATGAGGGGAAGCAGGACTCTACAAAGACACAGGTTACTATTCTTGCCACTGACCCTCTCTATTGAAGAAGACTTTTGATCATGTGGGGTTGACCTCTCTTAAGACAGGGCCTCTCAGGCTTAGAAGCAACAGGTGCCAGCAGGCACTTACTTCTGTAAGGTGAGCCAGAAGTGGGCACCAGTGAGTAGTGGGGCCTGAGGTGTCCTCCTTTCAAGAGGAAATGCCCCTTTCAACTCTGAGGGTGGTTGTTGAGTAGAATGAACTTTGATTTTCCTAAAGTAGAAGTCAGAGGCTTTTTAAAAAATGGAATCACCCATTTCACACCAGGGTGAGTGAAATAAAGTGACGACCACAAAACCTACTTCTATAGGCTGGAGTCTGCCACTCTCAGGCTGATAGTGTCCTCCTCTGCCTTAGATCTCTGCTTGTTTACTTTCATTTTACATTAGAACCAAGCTTTTGTGTACTTAAAAAATCCTTCATTCTCTGTTTCTAAGTTCTACGTGATGTAAATTTAGCGTAATGCTGTCCAAAGTAGGTGCTCTGTGGATGTTGCCTTTAGGTTGATTGTGTTTCTCCTTCCAGTCTGGTGCACCTGCCTTCTGTACCTCCTCATTTGTAAGGGGTGAATGGTTAGGAAGGAGTATCATTAGGTGGGTGGGTCAGGCAGGCACAGTCCTTGGCTTAGACCCTTGTCTAAATATAAGATGGTGGCTAGTGAATATCCATTGAGGGGTCTCTGTGGCCCACCTGCTATAAAAAGTGGGCCTTTTTGTGTGACTGAGTGTATCCCTCCGGTTCAGGAGTTTCAGAAGGAGCTGAGCCAGTGGAGGAAAGACCCCAGCGGAAGCAAGAAGAAGCCCAAATACTCCTACAAGACAGTAGAAGAGTTGAAGGCCAAGGGCAGGATTAGCAAGAAGCTCACCGCTCCCCAGAAGGAGCTTTCTCAGGTCAAGGTATGGGGGCCCTTGGGCACTGGGCTCAGGATGCGATCTTGGAAAACACACTAAAGTAATCCCACACCCCAGAGTCAGTCATCAAACCTTTTCTTAGGTCTTTTTCAGTGGTTCTGTCTAGGCGTGCTTTTTTAAAATCCTGCTTTTCTCACTAGAGAGCAACATTGCACTCATATTCAGAGACAGTTTCCGAGCCCTCCTCTGCTAGGAGCTCTTCATGGCACCATGGTGGTAAATCAGTGCCCCATCTTTGTGGCACCTTGTGAACTTACTAACATTTCTGTTACTAACAAGGTAATGTGAGCATTGTTTCTAGTGAGTGCCTGATTCTAGGAGTGGCTGGGCTGCGTCACGTGGCCCTGTCTAGGTCTCTATAGTTAGACCTTTAACTTGTGTCTGGTTTGGTTTGGTTTGGGTTTTTGCAGGCTAGTTTGTATTTAAAATCTAGGCTTTGTTCCAGACATTTTTGAAGGATAGATTCCCAGAAGCACAATCACCAGGATAAAGCAGCTTCCCAGTACTGGAAAGGGAGCACTGGTGTCTGCCCACGACCTGCCTGCCAGCACTGTTTTCTTTGTAAATAGGTGTCTGTTGTGTGCATACAGGCCCTCGGCTTTCCTCTTCTCCCCCAGGTTCAGGGTGACGGTGGGTTGTGGTAGTTTGGTGTAGGTTGGGATAGTCTGTGTATCAGAGGGCTGAGTCTTGAGTAAGGTTCTCAAATGTCAGGATGTTGTGTATCAGATTATCTGGGGGTCCAGGTGAGAAGCTCGGGTGTCCAGTTCCCAGCCAGGGATCGAGTCAGTAGATCTAGACTGGACCTGAGATTTGTTTCTCCCATGTGATTCTAACCATGGTCTTTGGATCACACTTTTTTTTTTTTAAAGATTTTTTTTTTAAGATTTATTCATACAAGCACTGGGTACAGTCAGAAGCACGGGAGGGTGAGAGAATTCACCAGAGTGGGGAGCAGAGCAGGCAGACTGACGAAGTACACTGCTGAGGGGAGCAGCGGGCAGCAGGAGAGGTCTGCGTGTCATGTGGGACCCTCGCCCAGCGGTTGGGGATTGAACCGGCACTGCAGAGGCTGTGGGCAGCTTCGGAACCCAGCGCTCAACTGCTGCGCCACCGGGAGGCCCTATGTTTCATTATGTTTTTACATTAAGCTTAATTTTTTGTTGTTTTTAAGTTTAAAAACTTCATTATTAGAGCAGAATGTGGTACATTTTATATAATTAGGTAGTGAGGCAACAGTATAAAAGATTATTCTCTTCTAATAGATGACCAGTTTTACTTTTGTTTTTAAAAATTAATTTACATATCCATACAAGAGCTGGGGTGCAGGCCAGAGATGTGTGTGTGGCGGGGTGGTGGTGAGAGGATTTACCAGAGACAGAGCAGGGAACAGAACAGGCAGACTGACTGAAATACACTGCTGAGGGGAGCAGTGGGCCAGACAGCAGAGGTCTGCTGTGTCATCATGGGTCACCTCCCTGGCAGGGGATGGAACTCAGGCCATAGTGGTGGTAGCGCTGAGACTTAACCCCTAGGCCACCAGAGAGGCCCAGATGACCAGTTTTAACATCCTGCCATACATCCTTCCTGATCTTTGCCTAAATATGCATGCTTACTAAAATATATTTTGATTGTATGTCCTGGTTTTTTTGGCCTGCGTTAATCAGTACAGCTTTACTTTCCTATGTAAATAGATTTTCCTCTCAACCTTGTAGTCTGTTTTCAAGTTTCATTCAGTTCTAAAATGTTTTCTCTTTCTGGTTCATCTGAGGGATCCAATCTAGAACTGCTTCTTGTCACTGAGCGTGTGTTAGAGTCCCCTGTAACTTAGTGCACATGAGCACACTTTGAGAAACTGCCCTTCTGCTCTGATGAGTAGTGTGGCCCATTTCCTCTAGCAGTGTGCCCTCCCCACCATAGGGGCATGCTTAGCAGGTGGCAGTAGTGAGCGTTAACCTGTGTCTCCTCTGCCATGTCCTCCAAGGTCATAGACATGACTGGCCGGGAGCAGAAGGTCTATTACAGCTACAGTCAGATCAGCCACAAGCACAATGTCCCCGACGATGGGCTGCCGCTGCAGTCACAGCCGCTGCCCCAGCCTGGCAAGGACGCCAAGGCCCCAGGCTTTGCGCTGCCCGAGCTGGAGCACAACCTGCAGCTGCTCATCGACCTGACAGAGCAGGAGATCATTCAGAACGACCGGCAGCTGCAATATGAGCGGGACATGGTGGTCAACCTCTCCCACGAGCTGGAGAAGATGTCGGAGGTCCTGGAGCACGAGGAGCGGGTCATCTCCAACCTCAGCAAGGTCCTGGAGATGGTGGAGGAATGCGAGCGGCGCATGCAGCCCCACTGCAGCAACCCGCTCACCCTGGACGAGTGCGCCCACATCTTTGAGACGCTGCAGGACAAGTATTATGAGGAGTACCGCATGTCGGACCGCGTGGACCTGGCCGTGGCCATTGTCTACCCGCTCATGAAGGAGTACTTCAAGGAGTGGGATCCTCTCAAAGTGAGTTGGGCAGGAACTCTCTCCACTTCTTGTTTGAGGGTACCTGGACTCAGGAGTGTCCAGGCAGCAGGAGGGTTGGTGAGCCCTGCCTTCAGCTGCTGTGCATTTCTCCTCAGGACTGCACTTACGGCACCGAAATCATCTCCAAGTGGAAGAGCCTCCTGGAGAATGACCAGCTCTTGTCCCACGGAGGGCAGGACCTCTCGGCGGACGCCTTCCACAGGTACTCGGTGCCGGCAGGTGTGGCGCTCTGCCACCGTCTCCTGGAGGAGCGGGACGACTGCTTCCAATGGGGAGGGTGGGGCACAGGCCCATCAGCCCTCTGCTAGCAGCTGGCATTGCTCTAGGAATGCCAGTTCATCCACCGATGCTTCTGCATGTCTCGAGTGTCACACACGTGCTAGATGTGATGCTGACCCCGGGGGTCAGGCAGGCAGGGTTGCCTTGTGAGAAAGGCAGATGGTCCGTAAGGAGATGGTCAAGTAAACCCAGGACACGGATGGGGCAGAGCAGTAGAGAACTACATGGGCAACCCACTGGAAGTGGGGATGTTGTGGCAGGTCTCAGCAGAAGGGGTGACATTTGTGACTCAAAAGGTGAGAAGCGTCAGCTGTGCATATAGCTCTGGGCGGGAAAGCACAAGGTGCCTGGAGAGGGGCCTTGGGACCCTGCAGCAGCCATGCTGAGCTGGTGGGTACTAGCAAGGAGACTGAGGTACAGCATTGAGTCGGCAGCCAGGAGAGCAAGGAAGAGGCCCAGGTCTGACCACATGGGGACTGGCCTGGCTTTCTGGGATTGGGTTTCTGTTCTTTTGCCCCTCTTTCCTATGCTAGGGAGGTGAGTGGTGGAACACTTGTGTGAGCTGTGAAACCCAGTAGTGCAGCTTGCCCTCTGCCTTTTCCTCCTAGGCTGATATGGGAAGTCTGGATGCCTTTTGTCCGAAGCATCGTCACTCAGTGGCAGCCGAGGAACTGTGACCCGATGGTGGACTTTTTGGATAGCTGGGTGCACATTATTCCCGTGTGGATCTTAGATAATATCCTGGACCAGCTCATCTTCCCCAAGCTGCAGAAGGAGGTAGAGCGAGAGTTCTGGAAACAGCTGTTATCAGTTACCATGGGAACTTGTTTAGCGCTTCTAGCTTAGTGCTGTTAAAATGCCTGGAATTGACAGGATTTGTCGTCCATGGTCCTGTAATGTTAACTCCAGCCCTTTTCCCAGTATTTTCTCCCCAACTATCGCTTCTCAGCCTTTTGGCTAAGATCAAGTGTATTTTCTCCCCAACTCCTCCCTTCCCTGCCCAACAGGGAATTCATTTTCTGGACAAAATTAGAATTGTGCCATTTCTGAGATTAGTTTCATGCTTTTGGAGAAAGGTAGTTCATAACGTCTCAAGGCACCGTGGCTGCTCTTTGGACCTACTGTGTTCCTGCATTACATGGCGTGTCCCCCACGTGTTGACAGTGGACCTCGGCTAGGAGAGCATGGGGTGGCTTTGCCGTTAACACCACAGGGTGTCATGTGACTGCCCCCAGACTGCCTGAACTGTTTCTTTCCTCCCATTCCTGCAGGTGGAAAACTGGAACCCCCTGACGGACACTGTCCCCATCCATTCCTGGATCCACCCGTGGCTTCCCCTCATGCAGGCGCGCCTGGAGCCACTGTACTCCCCCATCCGCAGCAAGCTGTCCAGCGCCCTGCAGAAGTGGCACCCTAGTGACTCCTCTGCCAAGCTCATTCTCCAGCCCTGGAAAGATGTCTTCACCCCTGGCTCCTGGGAAGCATTCATGGTCAAGAACATAGTCCCCAAGCTGGGTAATAAGGACATGGGGAAAACACAGCCAGGTCCAGTAGCCTTATGCCCTGGTTTCTTTGGCCAGAGGTAGTAATGACTGCTGCTCAGAACATGGCCTTTGCGCTCTGGAAAAGCTTAGCACATAGTAAAGGAGATGCCACATGAACAGTGAGGTTGACTGTAAAGGCAACCAGGGTCCTTTCTGCTCCTACTGAAGGTGGCTACTGAAAGCTGGCAGTGGCGGTCAGACGCGGTCAGACTCTTGTTCCTGGTCGGTCTGGCTTGGGCTTCTGGTAACAGAATAGCCATTGGTGGTCTGAAATGTTTATATTTCCTTTTAAATATATCAGTGTTATTTCTGGGTTAGAAGGAAAAAATATTCTGAAGAATTGCATGTCATTTGCTGAAAATTGACCTTTAAAAGATCAGACTGACATGGTCTGGTGACGACTTTGCTGTGTGCGTCCGTGGCCTTAGAGACTGGGCTTCTTTTCCAGGGATGTGTCTCGGAGAGTTGGTCATCAACCCCCACCAGCAGCACATGGATGCGTTTTATTGGGTCATCGACTGGGAAGGGATGATCTCTGTCTCTAGCCTGGTAGGGCTTCTTGAAAAGCACTTCTTCCCCAAATGGCTTCAGGTACATTTTGTCTCACATTGTTTTGTTGGGGGTGTTACAGGGATGGGGAGGATTTCAGGTGCTTGGTCTTGGATTAAGCAGGGGGGGGGAGGGGGTGATAACTACATGACCAGAGTTAATTACGTGGATGGTGAAGCTACGGCACCCACCATTTCAACTGTGTCGTGTGCCAGATGCTGTTTTAGACACTTTATTTGATTATCCCAACTCTTCCTTTTGGGGTAGAAACTGTGGTAGCCCCATTAAATAAATGGGAGGCTAAAGCTCTGGAAGTTTACATGCAAGGGGACTTAGCTGCCAAGCGGACTCCAAATTTGACTCTAAAGTGCCAAACTCTTCAGCCTCTGGAAATCCTTGCAAGTGTTACCAGCCTGTAGGGCCAGCATCAAAGCAGATGGTCCCTTGGGAAGTGTCTGTTAGTTGCCATTGTGGATACAAGCTTTATTTGTTCCTTTTTGGCAGGTGCTGTGCTCCTGGCTCAGTAACAGCCCAAACTATGAGGAGATCACTAAGTGGTACCTGGGCTGGAAATCCATGTTCTCAGACCAAGTCCTGGCACACCCCTCCGTCAAGGATAAATTTAATGAAGCCCTTGATATCATGAACCGGGCAGTGTCCTCCAATGTTGGTGAGTGTGGGCTCCCTCTCTGAAGGGCTGGGCTCTGAGCTCCACATTTGTGAAAGCCTGCATGAGTCAGTGTTTCCAGGTACCTGGAGAGTTGCCTAACGTGTAGCTTACCCTCAACACTGTCCCACCAAGGTCGGTGAAGCAATCAGCTAGCACCCACTGCCTGCTCTGTTGTGGGGCCCTTCTCCCTGCTTGGAGACTGAGTGAAGCCGCATTCACACTATTGCGTCTACTTCTTGAGCCCACCTGCATAGCTCCTGTGCCATGTGGCCTTCTAGGGTTCATTGCTGAGTCTGCTCAAGCCAGCCCCACAGCCTGGGTGTGCTACTCCAGTGTAACAGCTCACAGCATGGAGTCCACATGGACAGTGACAGACAGTATTTAATCCATTTTCTTTATAAGTTTTATTAAAAAATCGAGGGATGCAGTGAGTTACTGTGTCTGGCACTCATAGATGGTGTCTTCATTGTGTCAGAGCACAGTACTCATTGAAAAGCAGAGGCAACTGGAATAAGTAGTCCTGTTTCACAGGTAAGCTCAGCAAGATTAAGGTTTTGTTCAAGGTTACACAACTGAAGGGTGTTAACTGGAATTATAATTTCTACTTTGTGAGTCTGTCTACTAAGCCTAGTAGGTGAAAGCGGAACACAGGTTATATACTGTGCTGTCCTTATCCAGGTCCTTCTAGGGCCACCACCTCTGTTTTCATAATTTCTAGAAACTCTTCCTCAGCCACTGGAGCCCTAGCCTCAGACCTGTTCTTCATCTGCACCCTGGGCATTTGAGGTCTTTCCGACATCCATGTGTCACCTACATTTAATTAAAATATAATTTCCAATACATTCAAATTCTCCCAGGGTCTGGGCCTGTAAGGGTAAGTTAAAAATAGAACCAGCATGGGCTGTTTTGTTTCAAAGGTTCTAAAAACTGCCTCTGGCTAATTGAAGTGAAAACTTTAGAGTGCAAGCGAGAAGGGAATGGAGTAGTGGCTAGCAAGCCCCAATTCTACCCTAGAAGCCTTCAGACGAGCTTTTGTGCAGATCAGACAGTTGACTAATCTGAGTGTGTGTGACCTTCTGTTTTGCTGTCCTTGGAGGCATAGCTGCCTTTCTGTGAGGGCATCACAGAAATGGAAGGTGCTTGCTTCTGGCTCAGTAACAGCCTAAATTATGAAAACATGGATTTCTAACCCAGGTACCACTTTCTAGAAATAGTGCCTGTGGCATATCCAGAGCTGGGCCCTTCTCACTCTCCATTCTCTCTTAGGTGCCTACATGCAGCCTGGAGCACGGGAGAACATCGCCTACCTCACCCACACAGAGCGGAGGAAGGACTTCCAGTACGAGGCCATGCAGGAGCGACGTGAAGCTGAGAACATGGCCCAGCGGGGCATCGGCGTGGCTGCCAGCTCTGTGCCCATGAACTTTAAAGACCTCATTGAGACCAAGGCTGAAGAGCACAACATTGTCTTCATGCCTGTCATTGGGAAGCGACACGAAGGGAAGCAGCTTTACACCTTTGGTCGTATCGTCATCTACATTGACCGAGGAGTAGTCTTCGTCCAAGGCGAGAAGACCTGGGTGCCCACCTCCCTGCAGAGCTTGATTGACATGGCCAAGTAGACTAAAGCAGGCCCGAGCAGGCTGGACACTGGCACACAAGGGACATATTTATGAATAAACTATTTCAAACCATGTTTGAAAGAATAACTTCTCTATTCAGGGACTATGAAAGATAGAAAGCATAAAGCTACTCTAGAAGTACATAAATCTTTTTATCAAGTCCTTCCACAGCCTTGAGAACAAAATTTCCCGTGCTCTGAATCTTACCACCACAAAGAAAGAAGCTCCCCAGCAGCTCCTCCTTGGCAGCCTTCCCTTCAGTCTTTAGTGGCAGCTGCTGCTGCCTTGGCCAACACGGAATATGCTACAGCAAGTTCAAGTCCGTAGCTGCTGGGTCTTGTTCCTGATGATTTCAAGGTCCTCACAGTCTTGATAATCTGGTTCTTCCTGAAATGCCCAAATTTCCGTGGGCAGTTGTTTCAGTTTATGGACAGGGAACCAGTGGACAGAGGTGTCGTTGAAGACGTCTGTGTACTGTGAGGCCTGTGGAAACTCCAGCTCTTCTAGTCCTTTTAAAATCTGAACAGAAAAATTTTAGTGTAAACCAAAAATGTAATCACAGTAAATAAATCCAACTCTTCTGGGTTCAATTTCCATTCACCAGTCACCCCCCTCATGTTATCCTTAAAAAATAAGGAAGGGACCATTTTAAGTGCTTTTGTACAATGATTTGAAAGGCTCAAGGGCTGTAATACTGAGAATAAAGGAAACTAGGAAAAAATTAAGAGGTGCATTAAAATGCCATAGCTTTCTGGAACACAGACCCATTGAAGGAGCTCACTGTACAGTAATTCCACCTGTCTTCATTAACCCCATTAGCTTCCTCAAATGAAAAGGCAGAGTTCTTCCCCATAAAGGAGAAAATAGAATGACTTCAAACCCTTTTCCATCCCAGCCCCTACATCCAGATAAGATACCTTTGCAATGTAGGGGTAATTTTCCTTCAGAATCCTTGTCAACAACCTATGGGGAAAAACCACAGAGATTAGGGGATATGAGGGTGATTTTATTTAACTTCAGACAAAGGCAAGATGATTTAAATGTGACAGGGATTATTTAAAAAAGATTTGGAATACAGAGTAAGTTAAACAGTCATCATGAAATGTGAATGCCCAGCAACTGCTGATTTCCAGAGAGAAAGGGCAGCAGATACCTAGGCCTGATGCAGGAGAGAATGCAGGTACAAGGTTTTCCTCAGTTAAAAAAAACAATAGTTGGGTCCATGATTGGGGATGGAGGGGAAAGGATTCAATGACAAGTCTCCTTACATACTACTCAGGATTGACATCTGTCTTGAACCCTTTGTCCAGTTTCCTATGGAAAAGCGTTTCCAAGTACAAAATAGCCATGGACACATTTTCTGCTTGGGGATCACTGAGGATGTGTGTTGTCATCAGGCTGTTGACAGGCTTACCTTTCCTCAAGGCCCCTGAAACTGTTCCCAATGATGACCGTCTTGGAAAGGGCATCTACTGACCAGTTACGCCATAGGAGATTGTTGTACAGCGCTGTCCCACAATGGAGCATGAAGAAGATGGTGGGCTCACCGCAGACACTCCGTTTCCCTTCCTGGGGTACAACATGCATAGATGTAAACACACTTCTTCCGAGAACTAGGAGAGGACAGGTTATTGAGCTGAGTTCTTACCAAGGAAGAATTAAAATGGAATTACGTGAGGTGATGGATGTGGTGACCTCATGGTAAACAATACATCACATCAATTAGTATAACTTCAGTGTCACTCGTATCTCAATATAACAAGAAGAAATAAAGCCTAGGGGAAGGCAGACAGCAATATCAATGGGAAAAAAGCCCTCCCTCCCACTGCGGAATAATCAGTAGTGTGAATGATACTTGTAAAATTAATTGGGACTAAAGGCTGACAAATCATGACGTCCAGGAAGAACTATTTACTTAGGAAACGTGTGTCCCACAGACACAATGCCTTGGGTTAGCAAAGGGGTGGTAGGTGGGGTGAGAGAGCAGGGCAATGGTCACTGCCCTGGGGTACTGTGCTCAGCAATCCTCCATGCTGCTTGTGTCACTTCTGCAGATCCCTGTCATGATCCAGTCCTCTCAGGTCCTCTCCAAATGTTCCCTGGGGGGCACAACTGCCCCCTCTTGAAAACATTGCTCTATAGTCAAGCCCCTTGGCAGGGAACACAAGGTGCTTTGCAGTCTAGCCCCTGCCTGCCTCTGGGCCTCTCCTCCCACCACAGTTCACGCAATTTCCCTTACGTTAATACAGGGCAGTGGTTTCTGAACAGCTGCTCCTGCACAGGCTGGCTGCACCCTTGGTTCTGTCCCTCTAGCAAACTCCTGGGTAGACCTTAAATCCCATCTCAGACCCATGCAGCCTCCCCTGTCTCAGTTCCAGCATGTTTCCACTTCACTGTTCCATTCCTTGGTGGCATTTACAGGCTGTGCTGGCTCCCATTTTTCTTGGTCTCCAGAGCTCCTTCCCCAGCACAGAGCACACAGAGGTGACCTGCACTGCATCAGTGTTTCAGGACCTTGCTGACATCTGCAATGATTCTCTCATCTGGCCTAATTATGACGCTTTAGGACAAATAATAAAATGCCAGACCAAAGAGGAACAAATGATATTCTATGACTTGGGACAGGTCAAATCCCAACCAGAAAACTTGGTTAAGGCACCAAGACCATGTGCACCTTTCTTTTTAGTAACAATAAATACCAACTAAGCATAATTTCTAGTAACAGATTTCTTGCCAGAAATTTTCAAACCTAACATGTTCTGGTTCATGTCATTTGTAATTTATTTTTTTCAGATGAGCACAATACAGGCCAGAATATGGTCACTGACGCCATACTGCACAGGCTTGCAAGTGGGGGGGGGGGGGAGGGGGATGGTGGCAGGCTGCTCTTTCAAGCAGAGTGTGTCCACAGAGGGAGGCCGGGTCAGGCTGGTCCAGTCTCGCAGCCCTCCCCAGCCCCTTCCTCAACCACGCACCTCATTCTCACTGAGAACAATCACACCAAGGCTGCGGAGAACTGCAATTTCGAGCTGGCTGAACAGTGGGTCATAGATCCAGCAGTGACTTCTGGGAATCTGCAGAATGGAAGCATAAGTTACTTTAACCCAAACACCTGTGCACACACTGTGTGTACAAGGCCAAGGGAGGGGGCATTAAGATGAATCAAAAAATTTACCCGGCACTTTTCCATGAAGAGAAGCAAAAACGTTAGCTGGTTCCTGGCTATGACACAGGTGGCAAAGTTCCCAAGGCCGTAACACACACACTTCACAGGGCAGTTGCCGGCGACCAGTGTCTTCCCTGGGACAGAGCCAGTGGTCACTGCTGACTCATCGCCAGGCAGGTCAAGATGCAGGTTTCCAAGTGCTTCCGAAAGAGTCCCCTCAGTGGCCTTCAATTGTTCCAGATGTTCTGTGAGGCATCCAGTGATAGTTTCTGAAGAGCAAGTCCCCGAAAAGTCAGAGGGCACCGCATGAGAAGTCTAAGCAGGGCAGTGAGGGCCACAGCCTCTCAGGGACAGGCCACCAGCCTTTCTCCTCCCAAGCACGCCCGAGACATGAGCTGCCCTCCCAGCCCCAAAACTGACAGGCTGTCCCACTCCCTGGATACCCATAGGTTACAACCCAAGGGAACATTTCTAGCAAAAATGAGGTTTCTTTCATGCATACATTTCCATTAAAACTCTCATGTGAATGCATTCTAACTTAGTAGGAAGCCCCTGGCAAGTGCAGCTTATGCTCCAAAGTACCTACTTAAAAAAACTGATGGTGTAAGGGGTTAAGTCTTAGCACTATGAAGCTATCCCCAGCCAGGGAGCTGACCCACATGGCGCAGCAGACCTCTCCTGTCTCGCCTGCTGCTCCCCTCAGCAGTGTATATCAGTAGATCCGCCTGTTCTGCTCCCCACACTGTCTCTGGTGAATCCTCTCACCCCCCGGCCCCATATCTCTGGCCTATACCCCAGCTCTTGTATGCATAAATAAATGAATATCACACTAAAAATGACTGGGAGTAGGAACATGTAATGTGTAAAAAGTTCAAAGACTAAAAGGTAGGCTGGAGTTTCAAGAGTCCCATAGTGAAAATACTCTGATTCTCCTCATATAAAGGTGGATTCCCTTGTTTCTCCTTTTAGTATAACTGATATGAAATTTAGCTGAACAAATCTGTACATAAAAACAAAACAAATAAAAAGCCAGACATTCCCACAATAAATATAAATTTATCAAATTAGCAAAGATATTTTTAAATTAGATCCTGGCTAGGAAAGGTTTTTCATGATAAGTGGGATCTCTCAGCCTCTGCAGATACAAGAATTGTACAAAGCTTTTTGGAAAACATTTGAAAATGGATATCAAATTAATCACAGCCTTTCACATAATAATTCCACTCCTGGAACTGTATCCTAAAAAGATCATTCTCCATTTGGCAAAACTATGCATAAAGGTTCGTGCTGCAAAGCTATGTATGATAACTAAAAGACAAAGGAAACAAACTAAATGTCCCTCAATAAAAATTAGCTATAATATTTCACTCCATGTATTAATATTTATATTGTCACATGCATTATTTAAGAAGAGGTTATTAACACATGGGGAAAAACAAGGAAAAAGAGCACGCTAAATAGAAATCTCAACAGTAACGATAATAACAGCTGACATTTATTGCCTACTGGGTAGCAAGCAAGCACTATTGTAAGCACTTAACTGAAAAGCCTCATTTAATACTCAAAATTACACTACAGGACAGGTGCATTATCATCTCCATTCCCCAGACAAAAAAACTGAGGACCAGAGTTAAGTGCCAAAGGATACACACCGGTAAGGGGAAGTCAGAATGAGAACCCAGCATGTACTCTGCTTCTGAAGCAAAGTGTTTTCAAGTGAGGGTTAGATTCCTTTCTTTGCCCACATTCAGACCCTCCTCCCATTCCTACCACCCCCAAGCCTTGGCCAGATGGTACCCACCTAGTGCTGAGCTCCAGAAATCAGAGACAAGCAGGTCCTCCCTGTTGAGAAAAAAATGGTATGGTCACCTTCTGCCTTTTTCAGGGCTGCCCCAACAGTGACACCCCTCCTGACCATGAGCTGGACGCTGAGAGAAAGATGGAATGTCCTTAGACAGGAGAAGGACACAAGTGCTATTTGAGGTACAGAGCTAGGAGTGAGGGGTGGTAGGGAGAGGAAGTATACAGAATAATGAAGAGCTCTGAAGCATGGTTTTTGGAACCCAAAGTAGTGGGCTTGACACCTGTTTCCATGCATTATTATCTCTTACAATCAATGCCCTACCAGGATCCTAATGGCTGAGATGTTCAAACTGACAGTGTAGAAAGCTTAAGCCAGTATCAGGCACATGGCAAGTGCTCAATTAACTAATGATAATAATCACGAAATGACAGTCCCGTTGCTTCCTTGGTGCAAGCAGTAACAACCAACATGACATACTGGCATACCCAGCACTGGTACTGAGCTTGCCACGTGTTGGGCACTGTCCCTAATGCTTGTCCTTCGAAATGTCGATTCCATGCACTGATTAATTCACTAAGCCTTCCAAACAAGCCTATGTAGCACTATTTTCACGCCCATCTCCTATGAGAAAACCGAGACACTGCATTACTTACCTTGCCTAAGGTCACCTAGCCGAAACTCTAATAACAGGAAAGACAACCTTTAAAGCGGTTACGCTGGTGCAGACCCGTAACGAGCTCGTTACCCACCTTAACTCCTCACAATAACCCCTCCTAGGCACTCCCATTTTATAGATGGGGAGACAGAGGCTGGGACAGGTGTCCACAGGCATGAAGATTCGGGCCCAGCGCCGACTGTGCACTCACTTGGCCTCCTGGATGCGACGGAGGATGACCCGGTCGTCCGCCTCGCCGTCCGCCTCCGGGCCCGGGGCCACCGTCGCCTCCTTCCGCCGCGGTCGCCGCCCCGCAGAGCTTCTTTTCCGCCGAGCCGCAGTTCGCCAGGGTTCCAGCGCCGCCGCCGCCGCCATTGGCCCCCGACGTCACCCGCGCGCCCGCTTACGTCATCGGCGCGCGCCAGCTCTCCGGGCACTGTAGGGGGCGGTAGGCGCGGGCCGCGCGTGACCCGGTGGCTTCTCTGAGGCGCGCGCAGGTACCGGGCGGTAGTCGCTGGCGCGTTGCTGCTACCCACTCCGGGCCCGGAGCCCCGAACCCCAAGTCCCGGGGTGCCTGGCTACTCTGGTGGGTGGGCGGTGTCCAGTGGCGCGGGGTCACCGAGGGGCGGGAACCCGGCGGAGAGCCCCGGTAGATCCCTGGGCTTTTGCCCACCGGCTTCCAGCCCCCTGGAGCTGAGGCCAGAACCTCCCCGGTGCGGTCGGGAAGTTACCGATCGCGTCCTGGCCCTTTATGGTCGTTAGCACCCCTCTTCCTGCCCTGCCGACCCGCAGTTTCCGCTTTCTACACCCCACCTTCTGGCCCCCCTCCGTCTTTGTCAGCCACTTGTTGACTCCTCTGGGTTGCCACTGTTAACTTCCAGGCTGCCAGATCCTTCTCTGACTCTGGGCACATCCTGAAACCAACCTTACCCCAGAGCTGTTACCCACTTCTTCTGGACCTTTCTGAGATAAGATTGACCTCTGCAGGATAGGGCCCAATGCTCTGGGAACAAGGGATGGAGTGTTTCAGGCTCCTGTTCTTGGTTCCAGGAGTTTAGATGCTCTTCCACGTGTTTCATATAGAATACCTTGAGAATGACTCTGGAGGGCCACCCCAAGATACCTAGAACGGAGAAAAGGTAGATGTTTACAGGCCATCAGAGGTGCAGTGTTAGAGAGGATGTGTGTCCTCTGGTAAAAACTGTTGTGTCCCCAGGAGGATAACAGATGGTGAGCAAGCATTTGAAACCATGTCACTGGGGACATTAAACTTGGAGGAAGTGATGATAGGAATACAGTTTTGAAGTGACCCAAGGGTTACCTTGTGGAAGGATTAGACCTTGTTTTGTTTTCCTGCAGAGTGTTATCTAGATTTCGGGGGGGGGGGGGGGGAGTTGGGAGGAGACCACCTTTAGCTTGATGGAAGGATTAATTTAACACTGAACTGCCTATTTTTGGAGGGAACAAGCCAGAGAGGTCAAGGTAGGGTTTTTTTTTTTTTTTTAAGTTTTTAAAGGAGAGGACAGAAGACAAGGATTAGAGTAAATCATGGGAGGTTCCTACTGACTCTGAAATGCTCTGAAATGCTGTGTTGTCTATTCTGTTGTGGGAGTTTGAAAGCCACTTGTTAAATTCTCTTTTTGTTCTTTGGAAACATGCCCAGCTCTGGATTTCTACATGCTCAGATTTCTTTTGGGCTGTCAAATTGTTCCTTAATTGGGGTTCACTATGACTGCAGCAACCACCTTATTTGTATAGCTGTCTTTGACACCCGCGCTTTTTCACACCATTTAGGTTTGTCTTCTGTGAGACAAAACTGTTCAAGGAACTAAGGAATTTCTTCTGAAGTCCTGTTACCCTCTCTTTGTTATTTGGAAACACAATTTTCAACTTTCTGGAAAGCTCTTGAAATAGACCGTTTGCTACCCTGGTGGGTCACATGCTAGCTCGTGGATTTCTGAAATAATCTATTCCTTGTGTTTATTTTAGGGTCAAGGCACTGGTATTAGAACAGGAAGCTTCAGAACTTCTAAAAGAACCTTCAGAATGGCTTTAAACAAGATAAGCTAGAAATTGCTTCAGATCCTGGCCTGCCGCATGTGTTTCCTCTGTTGGGCTTTCCTAGCAAGAAGCTCTTGGAAAAGGTCATTCTGCAGTGAGCCTAAGAGCTGATGCTTATGGAACTAAATCAGTGGATTTGACCTCCTGGTAGACTATCTTGCTTTATTGTACTCTCTATCAGAGTTCTAAGAGGTGTGGATGGGCTCATGGACGGGAAGTAGCACTTTCATGCTGAATAAAGATGAAGCAAGTTGACCCGTGAGACTGAAAACTCAAACCTACCATGCCCGGATTCTCTAGATCGGGGAGGAACTGTCATTACTGCTGGGGAGAAAGAAGCCATAGTGGAAAAGAAACCCCAAATAAAGAGAATGAAGGCGACTGGAGAGTAAATGGCCACCTCCACCTCATCAGAGACGAAGTCAGCCTCCTGGTGAGTTACCAGGCTTCTGCCATGTAGCTCTTGCCAGGCTGCTGGATGGCTGTTTTGTTCACTGAAAATCCCTAGCCAGATTGTCTTGATTTTCTTTTTTTAAAGATTTATTGTATTTATTTATGCATATAAGAACCGGGGTGTAGGCCAGAGGTGGGAGGGGTAAGAGAATTCACCAGAGACAGAGCAGGGAGCAGAACAGGTGAATCCACTGAAATACACTGCTGAGGGGAGCAGCGGGTGAGCCAGGAGAGGTCTGCTCTGCCATGTGGGTTAGCTCCCTGGCTGGGGGATGGGACTCATGCAGCTGTGGCCCCTGTCTTTTTTTATTAAGGAAAAAAAATTTCCTTTCTCCTTAGAGCAGTTAAATCCAGCCTGTGAGCCATTTCAGTCCCAAGATGAAGAGTCATAACCTTGCAAACCTCTTGCAGTATTCGAATGAGTCCAGTATTGCTAGTAGATTGTGAAAAGATAGCTGTGGCCCCTCACACACTGCTCGGATAATCATGTGGGTGCTGTAACCTCCGCTTTTCTAAGACTGGAAATGGTTGCGGTGCAGAATTATACTTCGAGGTTTGGCCAGTCTGGCTCTTGAAAGGTGTTACACATCATCTGCCTTAAACTCCCTTCTCAACCCCAACTGGGTTAATCCTCTCTCAAAATTTAGTTCAGCAAACATGAATCGAAGTGGTGGAAGTGAAAAAGAGCAGTTCAAAATGACTCCCAGGTTTTCTTTTGTGTGCCTGGAAAAGCTGGGGTGCTTTCCGTCTAGAGAATGCGGGGGGAAAGAGTAGGATCAGACCTGGCAGTGGGTTTCTGAGCTGGGTTTGAAACATTTTTGAAGCTTTTTGCTCTGAACGTGCCCTGCTGCCAGTTTCATATCTGGCCCTTGAACTTTAGTAAGTGAAGGTGCTAGAAGCAGCATTTGCCAGCAGGAAGCTAAAATGGGAACCGGTGATGGTAGAGGAGGGTGTAGATCCCGGGAGAGAAGAGTGCAAGAGACAGAATAGTCCCAGCTGTCCCTTCCAGTCTAGTCTGGTTAAGTGTCCTTTCAGAGATATGGAGGCAAAGGCCGGGGCCAGCTTTGGGGGCACTTCCTTTGTAATTACCATGTGTAATGGCAGGAAGACACAGTGCAGGTTTTCTGATCCAGCAAATGGGGTAAAGGAGGAGTGAGTCCTAGAGCCCTCAGTGGCTTTTGCAGGCTTTTATTGGGATTTACCAGGTACACAGCAGGCAGGGGTACTGAGGGGCTGGGAGGCCTGCCAGCCCCCAGCAAGTCTTCACTCTGTCTAGGCTCTCCGGTGTTCTCTGGTGGTTCTGCTTCTGCCTGCATTCCCGTGATGCCACCCTTATAAGCTCAGTCTCTCAGCCCAGGTGTACCCACTTACGCATGGCCACACCCCACTCCAGGTGCCCACCATCAGGCATGCATTCGGGACCACAGGGTTCCGTCATCTATCCCAATGGCGGGAGGGCAGAAAAGCCTGATACTTGTACCTTATCCTACACCATTGTACTGCGGAGCAGACTGTAGTCTTTAGGGAAGAATAGAAAGTTATGGAAATGGAGGAGAATCCTCCAGACTGAGGGAATCAGAAGTCCAACCAGGGATTAGGCTTGAGTTTTACTTAAGGTCTTGGGAAGGTTTAGACAGAGAGGGGTTGGTGTTTCTTTGTGAATTCCCATTGGCCTCTTTCCCCTTAGAGATTCACTGTCCGGCACTGAACTGGCATGTTTACTGTCTGCCTTTCATCCTGTGGCCTCAGGACTGGCAAGGCAGCTTGCCCTGTGGGCCCTCAGTAAAGGTTTATGAATTGAATGCAGGAAGTGGGGGACTGCGGGAAGCCGGGGAGACACCAAGACCATCTCCCTTATTTTGTTATCTGAGCCTTAAAGGACAGTTCACAGCACCATGTGGTTATAGAGTTAAAGGTTCCCCATCTCAAATAAGAGGCGTCATTGCGGGTGCTTCTCTTTCCTGCAGCTCCTTTTCTGGCTTTCCGCAGATAGTCTGCTGGCTGGATAGAGGCGTTATTTTTAGTTTGATTCGACTCTATTTATGAAATGGTTTTATCGACTTTGTAGCTACAGGGGCCACCAGAAGGCTTTTCAGACAGCATGGTGAGTCCTTCCTGGCTTGGGCAATAGGAAGCTGTGTTTTAAAAGGCCTTGATCACCGGATAAAAGGAAAATGGCTCCCTTCTGTTCTCTTGCCAGGTGGAATTACTTTTTCCTTTATGATGGTTCAAAGGTAAAGGGAGAAGGAGATCCAACCAGAGCTGGCATCTGTTATTTTTATCCTTCCCAGGTAAGCCATACAGTGTTTTATTGTTGGTGGGGATTCCCGCTGCCTCAAAGTGGCAACTTTTCAAAGTATAGGGTTTATGTTGGGCCTGTTTTCTGTCATAATCCAGGCTTTGCACATTTCTTAACTCCATTGTGTTTTTTCTTGTTGTTCTGGTCTTGAAATTTCTAAGCAGCTCAGGACTTCCACCTTCTCCGGCTCTCTGTCCCCTTCATGATTTCCCACTTGCCTCCCCTTGCTCTCAAGTTTTGATCAACTCATTAAAAAAAAAAATTCTCATCCAAACATATGCAAAAGAGAGGAGAGTATCATCACCTCATATTCCTGTCGCGAGCATCACAATTTTAGGCACATCCCCAGTTTTGTAACACCTGTCCTAACCCCAACCCAACCCCTCTGCTTTTTTCCTGAAGTGTTTTGAAGAAAATCCTAGATACTATGTCATCTCGCCACTATCAAGTAACATCTAACAGAAAAGGACATTTTTTTTAACATCACAACTAACAAAAGTTACAATAATTAGTAACAATAATTTCTTAACATCTTCTGATCATGTCTACATTGAAATTTTGCCTTTATTATCTTACATGTTCCTTAGTCTGTCCGTCCCCCTCTTCTCCCGCCCCCTTGCTAATAAGGGAACAAACGAGGTCCACATATTCCATCTGGTTATTTTCTGTTTTAAATCCATTTTGTTCCTCTCCTCACCCGCCACCCATCCTGTCTTCCTCCTGTGCCCCTTAGTGCCTGGACAAGCCCAGTCGTGTGTGCGGTAGAATGTTGGAATGCCCGGGCGAATGTTAAGAGTGTGGCTCACACCTGTTTGTTCCTGCATGGTCATTCAGTGTCTCCTACACACTGTAGCTTCTTTAAAGTAGTAGTAACATCTAGAGCCCTGATTCGGTTCAAGTTTAGTTCTTACAGGAAAGAATTCTTCGTTTCCTCTCACGTCACCTAAGCCTGCCTGCCCCAGTTTAGTGGCTGGTGAGACTGTTAGGAACTTCTGTGTATTTGCTCATGTGACTGTGCTCTGATTCGGGTAGTTGGGATTAGCCTAGGCTCCTCTTGCCACTCTGCAGGGGATTTGAAGAAGGATGAAAGGCTCATACTTCTTCCCATGCATGTGCCTGCATTAATCCTATGAAAAAAATTGTAGTTCTGTGCAATCATCTTAGGTGTTCACTGTGGACGTTCTTTGATGCTTGTCACCCTGGGTGAGGGTCAGTAAATTTTTTCTAAAAAAGTCAGAGTGAATCCTTTAGTTTGCAAGTCACAGAAGGTATCTATCACATATTCCTTGTGTTGTTTTCATAATCTTTAAAAATATATAAAAACCATTCTAAGCTCATGGATCATGTAAAAACCGGCAGCACATTTGCCAACTCCCACTCTAAGGAATAACACAGGAGTCAGCTCTTTATCTGGAATTTGCTCTTTTCCTATAGACCCTGCTTGACCAACAGGAGCTGCTCTGTGGACAGATCGCCGGAGTTGTCCACTGTATTTCAGACATTTCCGCCTCTCCCCCAACTCTCATTCGTCTGCGGAAACTTAAGTTCGCCATAAAGGTTGACGGAGATTACCTTTGGGTAAGTTTAACAGGCAGGATCAGTGCTGTCAGGGTCGTCTCCTCTGTGAGTCCGTTGTCTTGGGGATGAGTGTCGTAATGGTAAAGTTTAGAAGGGAATGGTTTCCATGCTTTTGGCCTCAGATCTCCTACCCCTTCCATGCACTGTGTCCAGTATGGTCCATGATTCCTGTGTCACTCTGCAGGCGCCTGTCATAGCCAAGTCCTCCTCGTGACACTTCCACCATGGCTCGTGTCTCCTCTCCTTCAAAAGACTCAGGCCAACATACAGAAATTCTGTTTGTGATACAACTTGAGTTTTTAACTTCTGTCTTTTCTTTTTTCTACACTTATCAGGTGATCCAGAAACTCTTAGGATATCGACAAATATGTATTAGGTTTTAAAGATTTCTAGAAAAAAGATAATAAACATTTCTTTATAGCTATTGGGATGGCAGAAAAGTCATGAGGTATTTTTTCTATGGTTTTCAAACAAAAATGCGCCATGACTTTCTGATAACCCAGTAGTATATCATATCCTCTAAAATGTTTTTGTACCATGTCTACATGGTACTTACTTTATTTTTTGTGTAGAAGAACTGGGATGCAGGCCAGAAGTATGAGGAATGAGAATTCACCAGAGACAGGGTAGGGAGCAGAACAGGCAGACTGGCAGAAATACACTGCTGAGGGGAGCAGCGGGAGAGACAGGAGAGGTCTGCTGCGCCATTTGTGGGTTAGCTTCTTGGTCAGGGATCATACTCAGGTCATAAAAGTGAAAGTGCTGAGACTTAACCTCTAGAACACCAGGGAGGCCCAGTACTTATTTTAAACTGATTACTAAGGTGAAGGGATGCTTAAGCGTGAGGTATTATATATTCAGCTTTGCAGGTATTATTTCAAACATTATTATGAAAATTTTCTAACAAACTGAACAGTTAAAAGAATTTCACAGTAAATATTCACATAACCTCATACACTCTGCAAGAACATTATGCTGTAATTGCTTTATCACATATTTGTTGATTCATCCATTTATCCTTATCGGTCCAGTTTTATTTTAATGCTTTTCAAAGTTGCACACATTATAGTAACCCCCAACCTAATACTTTGTCATGTGTAACATTAACTAGGGTTCAGTATTGGGTTTTTTTTTTTTTCTTTTGAGGTAAAATTGACATCTGATGAAAAGCACAGCTCTCAAGTGTACCGTTTAATGCATTTGGACAAATGGTGTGCCTGTGCAGCACAAATCCCCCTCACGATATAGAATGTTTGCATCACTCCAGAAAGTTGCTTGATGTCCTTCCCTACCTAATTCTACCATATCCTCTCCCCCATCGCAGGCAGCCATTATTCTGAATTTTTTTCACCATAGATTAGTTCTGCCTATTCTAGAGCATCCTATGAATGAAATAATACTTTTCTCCTTTTTATGGATACATGAACTGTGTCCAGTTTCAGGCAGTTAAGAATAAAACCTCTAGGAACATTCCTGTCCTGTAAGTTTTTGTTTCTCACGGGTAAATATCTAGGTGTGGAATTGCTGGGTCAATAGGGTAGGTATACGTGATTTTATGAGAACTTCTGGAGCTTTTCCTAAGGTGGTTTTATCATTTACAGCCCTGCCAGCTGTGTATGAGAATTCCAGTTATTCCATGTGTCATCAGTGCTGATGTCTTTCATTTTAACCATTCTGCTGGTTGTGGTGATATGTCAGCCTGGTTTTAATTTGTGTTTCTCTAATGACTAATGATAAGGTTTTTTCATGTGCCTAAGGGTCGTTTGTATATCTTCTTCCTTTGAGAAATACCTGTCTAAAACGTGTGCCTATTTTTTATACAGGGATTTTATTTTTTATTGAGTCGTAGAAGTTTGTTATAGATATGCTGGATATCAGTTTTATTGTCAGAGACATACTTTTACAAAATTTTCTCCCAGTTTGTGGTGCGCCTGTTAAGTTTTTAATGATGTTTTTAAATGAGCAGACATTTTTAATGTTAAGTCTAATGTATCAGCTTTATCTCTTATCTCTATTGCTTTCTCTATTGCTTTTCTTGACTAAAACCATTGCCTACCTCATTGAAGAAGATATTCTCCAATATTTTTGGTAAGTTTTATAGTTTTAGTTTTTAAGTTGAGATCTATAGATGGATTCATTAATGTTTGTGTATGGTGTGAAGTGGAGGTCAAGGGTCATTTTTTTGCCAGTACATAGGTTGTTCCAGCACCATTGTTTGAAAAAACTGCTTTCCCAATTGCATTCCTTTGGCTCCTTTGTGAAAAATTAGATGACCATTAAATGGACCTATTTCTGGGTTCTCTTTTCTTTTCCATTCATCTATTGGAATAGCCTATACAAATAATACACCGCCTTGAAACCAGGTGGTATAAGCCCTCCAACCTTAATCTTTTCCAAACTTTGAATCTTTTTGGTCCTTCCAGTTTCCCTTTTAGAATCAGTTTCACAGTTTCTAAAGAAAAGCGGGTGGGTTTCTGATTAGCATTGCAGTCACTCTATCATTCTACTGAGGAAGAAGGTAGCTCTTGCTGTGTGCCAGACTATTGTAAGCTCTTGGATTACATCAGTGGCCAAAAAGAAGATCCTGGTGTCAGTGCAGCTTACATTGGGAGAGAAGTTTTGTTTTGTTTTCTGTCAGGGTTTGTGGGTTAATGATTCCCTTAGGGAAGATTCCTAGAGGCAGAATTACTGAACCAAAGAATGTGAACTTTTCTCAGACTCTTTAAAGACATGGCCAGACTACTTTCTAACTGCGCAAGAACTAAGATAGTCTTACTTTGTAAAATTACGAAGTACGTTCAGCAACTTGATGCTCTTAACCTATGATCACCCAATCTCTGTTCTCCAGGTCCTTCATCCAGTTGGGGTGGTGAGATGGTCATACATGAGACAGTTTGAGTCCTGTCTGGTGTTTGTAATAAAACCCAAATTAAACACCCAATGTCCCTAATTAAATACCTAACAGTCCTAACAGTGCCAGGGGCCAGAGTAGAGGTCAACATTGGCTTGAGTGATTGTAACAGGCATCAGGGAGGCTAGACTGGTTCAGGAGGGGATGGGAAAGCCCTGGACAAATAGACATGAAGGAGGAGGCATTTCAGGTTGGCAACCTGAGTAGGTATAAGAAGCACCTGATCTCTGTGGAGGATGTGGGGCCAGGGCAGCACATCAGTTCTGTGGGACAGTGAAGTCTGGCTGTGGAGCCCCAGATGCCTGGATTTGAGACTCGGGCTCAGACTCAGGAAGGAAGATGTCTTCCTGGTGTCCCTCTCTGCAGGTGCTGGGCTGTGCGGTGGAGCTCCCTGATGTCAGCTGCAAGCAGTTTCTGGATCAGCTGATTGGATTCTTTCATTTTTACAATGGACCTGTTTCTCTGGCTTACAAGGTATGAGGGTTGTGTCAAGGAGTGATATTGCCAGAACTCAGCACTGACTCAGGGGTGTGTTATACTTCACATAAACTCATCATGATGAACAACAATAATAGGGGTTCCCTGGGGCCCCTCTCAGATGCTTTGCTCCCCAGTGGCATGGGTCACACTCATTCTGAATGCTTCTCCTCACCTAATATTCCCAGGTCAGTGGAAAGAGGACCTGGCTGCCCCCACCCCAGCAGGCACCTGTGTCTATGGTGGGGTAGGTGGTTGTCTTCCTGTGTTTGTAGGAAGTTCAAAACAAGCCCTCCGTTCTAGCTGGTTTCCTGCATGAGGAACAATTTTTGGGGCATTTGGGATTCTTGCCAAAGAGAGTACTTCTCGGAACCACACATACTGACCGCAGGCTGTGTCTGTTTTAGAACCGCTCCCAGGAAGAGCTGAGCGCTGAGTGGAACACCTTCATTGAACAAATTCTGAGACATACCAGTGATCTGCATAGAATATTCAATTCCCTATGGAACTTGGACCGAACTAAGGTAACATTCTCATCTTCCTCTTGTGTCATGTGTAGGGGTAGAGCTTCCGGATACTTTGGTTCCCTTTCGCTGTGTCTGAAGAAGTGAGTTTTGCGTGATTCCACACAGCTGCTCCAGAGGTACAGGGGTGAGGGGATTTACCAGAGACAGAGTGGGGAGCAGAACAGGTGGATTTACTGAAATACACTGCTGAGGGGAGCAGCGAGACAGGACAGGTCTGCTGCACCATGTCAGTCATTTCCTTGGCCAGGGATAGAACTCAGGCCATAGCACTGATAGGGCTGAGACGTAACCTGTAGGCTACCAGGGAGGCCCATTTTCAGAGACTTCTAAATAACTGGCTTCTCACCAGGAATGTAAATGAGGCATATTTCCCCAAGAAATAGACCATGCCATTTTGTCTTATGCTGTGGAATAGCATTGTAGGGCCTGGTCAGACCTCAAAACAGTTGTATCACTATGGAACTTGCACTTCAGAGAGATCAGGAGGATAAGATGGGTGCATCATGCCTGGTACCAAATCCAGCATTTCACCCTAGCTGTCCTCTCCTGCTGCCTCTGGGTCTTGGCATTGATGGCCACAGCCTCCTCGGCATTCTGCTCTGTCCCTGCAGAGAGCCCTAGCTGTACCCACTGTTCAGCTTCTAGAAAGGCCGCTTTGTTCCAAGAGCTTGGCCTTAGTGATATCAGCAGTTCTAGGCACAGAGAGGAACAGATCTGAAATGTGGTGCACATTTTACCATATGGCATTCTCCCTTCTCCAGGCTTTGGGGTGTGACCTGTCTGTCTGTTCTGCAAAGCCCCCATCCCTTACCCGCCTTGCTGACAGAGCATGTTCACTTGTGCCTGCTTCTTCCCCTGCACAGGTGGAGCCCCTGTTGTTGCTGAAGGCCGCCCTCATCCTGCAGACCTGCCAGCGCTCACCTCACATTCTAGCCGGCTGCATCCTCTATAAGGGACTGTGAGTAATGCCAGACCCTCTCCTAAACACCCCCTCCCCAACCCCCTCCCCCCTGGGCGGAGCTGATCACCCTTCTCCAGATCATGGGCTGCTTTGGCAAATATCATCAGATATTTAAATTTGATTTATAGTGTATATCTACCTTTTAGCAGGTCTGGGAAATTGGAAACTTTTGTGTCCAGAAAAGTTAGGAATGTAAGAGGCAGTCTTAAGAGACCCCTAGATTTCTCTGCATAGTGCTTGCCTTCATAGCTCTTGGCCTCCAGAATGCCAATGCCAAGCCCCAGGGGTGCTGGAGGCCAGCACTATAGGTAGGGTGCCCGGCTCTGCTGTGTGCACTGCGGCTCAGCTTCACAAAGCAGCCTGGCATACTCCCCATCATCCATGCTCCTACCAGCCTCCTGGCTGAGTTTGTCTCTGGGTTGTTCTCCGAATGCTCACTATACCTCTTCCCGTGGATGGAGGGCCTCTTAGTGAGCCTGAGAGTCCGCGAGCCCGAAAGCCACTCCATGCCTCTTTCAAGGCCGCACTCCACATGGAGGGTTTACTCTTTCAACCTAGCAGGCAGGGCCATTGCTCTGTGCCCAGAACATTCTCATGACTAGCTGAATGTGTGCTGAAGAAGCTCTCCAGGCTTTTATTGGGGCCCCTGGGGGCTGACAAGCTGAGGTCCCAATTCTGGCTGTTTGTTGGCCCCGCTACGTGACCGTAGGCAAGTTGCTTAATCTGTTTTCTCTTCTGGAAAGCAGTGACACTGGGGAATGAAAGGAGATGAGACATGGAGCAGGAGCAAGCGCATTCCCTGTGCTCACACTCCTCATCCCTTTCCCGCTTTCAGCATGATGGGACAACTCATGTTGCCTCCAGTGATGAGGCTTCCCCCTTTTCTGGTTTTGTGTTTCTCCTGCGCCAGTGCATCCTCATTGCAAATAATTGAGCCCAAAGAAAAGCAATTCAGAAGTTCTCCACTCTCCCTCGCTCTCTGCCCATTTACTGTCAGTAGCTTGGTGGACGTCCTTGCATTGTTCTTTGTGGTGTTGTAGTGCAAACCATCCCAGGCTGGGCAGGCTCGTGGTGGATTTGGGCAGGTGGAAAGAGAATTTTGGAGTCCTCGACAGATTTGATAGGCCTTTAATGCTGAAGCAGGGAACCGGGTACACAGGCTGACCAGCGGGCAGGGAGCCTGGGAGGCAGGCAATAACCCAGCCCTTCCAGCCCCAGTGATCTTTATGCTCTCCCTCTGGTTCTTTCTTCCCTCTCGCTCTTTAAGCTCTTTCTTAGAATAACACGATATCATGTGTGAATAATGAAATCCGGGAGGAAAACAAAAGTTGTAGGTGGCAGCCGCAGAGGCTGGCTGTGGGAGGCCAAGAGCCTGAGCCATTCCGTGTTCCTTACAGGGGTTTTCACACACCTGTAAACGCAGATTGACGATTCTTGCTGTCTGCATAGAGGGGATCATACGCTTTCTTAGCTTCACATGTACAGCAGAGCTTTCTTTATCAGCCCTGTTGGTCACAGATTACCATATTCTTGTAATAGCTGCACAGTTTTTGGTGTTTTGGCTGTGCCATGATTACTCTTGATGGATATTTAAACTGTTTACCCATTTTTTAATGATGGTACCATTTTCCCTGTAATAATAGTCTTATACATACTTCTTGGTTTTAGGGGACAGGAAGGGCAAAGTGCAGGTTTTCTATGATCTGAGCAGACGGAGTACAGGAGGAGAGAGTCCTGGAGCCCTTGGTGGCTTTTACAAGCTTTTATTGGGATTTACCGGGTACATGGCAGGCAGGGGTGCTGGGGGGCTGGGAGGCTGGTAGGCGGCCTACCAGCCTCCCAGCCCCCAGCAAGTCTTCACTTTTTCTGGGCCCTCCGGCGTTCTCTGGTGGCCTTGTTCTCTGCTCCCTTGCTTTCTCCTCCTCGTGGTTCTGCTCTCTTTTCTTCTCATGGTACTTCTGGCATCCCCGTGACGCCACCTTTATAAGCCCAGTCTCTCAGCCCAGGTGTACCCACTTAGGCATGCCCACACCCCCCTCCAGGTGCCCGCCATCAGGCATGTATTCAGGACCGCAGGGATCCATCATCTCTTAATGGCGGGAGGGCAGAAAAGCCTGATACTTTTTCACTTACCCTACATTGGTGTAAGGCAGGTCAGAAGGTTTGGACATATTAAATTTTGGTAAGAACCGCCAAAGTGCCCTTCGTAAGGGGTTTGCCAGTTGGAACTCCCACCAGCCATGTCTCTGAGACTCTCCAGGTGGGTGTTAGGAATCTTTTCAATTCAGAGTGTATGTCCCTCATGCTGACCTTCCTGCTTTTGACCTCCTAGGATTGTTAGCACACAGCTACCACCTTCCCTCACTGCCAAAGTCCTGCTTCACCGAGCTGCACCTCGAGACCAGGTATAGTAAAGCCCGCCTGTCTGGCTGGGATGCTTCCTTTAAAGCAACAGCTAAGTGTGCTGGAAAGGCCAGGCCTCCGTGCTGGGGCCCCGGTGGTTTCTGGTAATCTTTCCAGGACCCAGTGAGATTTTCCTCCAGAGCAATCACTGACAAGGTTGAAAGAAAATGCGTTCTTCTGTGTGGTGGCTTGACTAGTGCTTTTTCCCACTCCCAAGGAGAGATGACAATTTGACTTCTCTCCAGATGGGCTCTGTGTCCACGAGATGTCGGTCTTAGAGCCTGTGAAGGATAACATAAAAAACTCTTAAAATACTTCCATCTTGCGTTTGTTTCTGTAATTGGAAAAGGCCAGACGTGCTTATTGAGAACGACATTGTCTGCAGGTGTGCTGCGTGGAGATCAGCACCTGGCACGCCTTCTCCTGGACCTGTTTTCTTTTTTTCCCTTGGGTTTGTTCTTAGCGTGTGAAGATGTGGTTTATGTGTATCATGGGGAGCATGTTGCTCTTCTTAAGTGAGTAGAGGTTTAAAGCACGTGTGGGCCTCTGTTCAGGCTCCTTCCCTGCGCGGGTGTTAATGAGCACATTAAAGCTGGCCTTTCTCCAGCCTGATCACTCACCTTCTGGGAAGCCAGCCTGAGGAAATTAACTCCTGAAAGGGATTCTACTCAAAACTTTATCACAACAGGATTTATAAAGTGAAAATGAGAGAGAACTTAAATGTCTCCGGTAGGAGTTGGCAAGTTGCAGGCAGGGGCCAGCTGTTTTCCAAGTGGCACTAGACCCTTTGGACCTGGAGCATCAAGATGGGTTGTTGCACCTGAGACTGTGCAGCTCAGCTCAAAATATTTACTGTCTCATCCTTTTTAGAAAAAGTTTGCCAGTTGCTGATCTAAAGTAGGCAAATGATTAATTCAGTGACACTGTGCTTCATAAGATTTTAGTCAGCCATGTAAAATGGCCAAAAGATGTTTTAATGACAAGAATTGCATATTACTGTGTTAAGTAGAAAAATAGAAAATAATGTGGCTCGAAGTTTCAAAAAAAATGCGTAGACTAAAAGAACATGCTCAATGTTAACAGTATTAGCTTGTGGTGAAGGAATTGCATGGAATTACAAGTGACTTTTTTTCTTAAGAATTTTTGTCTAGGGCCTCCCCGGTGGCACAGTGGTTGAGCGCTGGGTTGCGAAGCTGCCCGCAGCCTCTGCAGCACCGGTTCTATCCCTGGCTGCTCCCCGGCCACCGGAGGAGGGTCCCACATGGCGCGCAGACCTCTCCTGCCGCCCGCTGCTCCCCTCAGCAGTGTACTTCGGATCTTCTGCCTGCTCTGCTCCCCGCTCTGGCTCTGGTGAATTCTCTCACCCTCCCGCGCTTCTGACTGTACCCAGGGCTTGTATAAATAAATAAAAATAAATCTTTAAAAAAAAAAATCTTAAAAAAAAAAAGAATTTTTGTCTCTAGGGTAAGTATGAAAAGAAAGAAAGCCACATCATTTCTTAGTGAAGGTCATTTTGACTAGAAGGGTAGTTTTATTTGTTTTTGTTTTGTTTGGGTGGGTGCTTCTGGCACTTTTAGGTTAAGGTGCCTGGGAAGCTCTTTTGAGAAAATTCTCAAAATTTCTCCCCTTGATTGGAATCAAAATAAACAAGCGAGACCAGGTATAGCACTTTGTTTGGGTCGGAGCCTTTTTGTAGAGGGTCACAAGACCTTCACCTTTCTGGTATAATGGCATCTGTGTGAGCTCTGTGCCAGGGCTGTGACAGATGTGGCTATATTCTAGAAGGTGAGTTCTCTGAAGGTGTAAAAGAGAACGTGAATCTCGCTTTTATATCTTGCTTTTATTCTTGTGGTGGCAGGACGGGCACAGCACAGGATCTCTATGATCTGAGCAGACGGGTGAAGGAGAGTCCTGGAGCCCTTGGTGCCTTTTTCAGGCTTTTATTACCCTTTTTACCAGATATATAGCGGGTGGGGGTGGGGTGGGGCAGGAGGCTGGCAGACTTCCCAGCCCCGGCAAGTCTTCATTCTTTTCAGGCCTCTCGGGCATTCTCTCGTGGTCCTATTCTTTGTCTTCTGCTCGTTCTGTTCCTACTGCTGGCGTGCCCATGACACCACCCTTATAAGCCCAGTCTCAGCCAAGGTGTGCCCACCTATGCATGCCCACACCCCACTCCAGGCAGGTATCCGCCATCAGGCATGCATGGATCCATCATTAATGCTAATGGTGGGAGGGCAGAAAAGCCTGATACTTTTTCACTTACCGTACAATTCCCTAAGGAGAATTGAGCACTCAGCTCGCAAAGCCTGGTGTGATTTGGGTGGCATGCTGCCCCGCAGTCTGTGTAAGCCTAGGTGCGCCCTGACCCCAGCCCTGGTGCTGTGCAAGCAGCTTGGGGGAGCTTCTGCTCCATCTGTTTTGCTGTTGGCATGTGGTTAGGACAAGCATTCTGGGCCTAGCCAAGTTTTATGAACAGATGGTATGGAGTATTCCTGATGGTTAGGTCAGGCAGTGAATGTGGTGCCCGGCGCTAATGGCTATGTGTGTTTATTTTCAGAGGATACCTACAGGAGGGGATGCCCTGCAGGAACATGGTAAGTATAAGCTACTTAGTTGCCTTTGAGAATTTCATCTGAGAATGCCTTCTTTTAGGTGTTCCATTTCATCTACTCATAAGATGAGGGAAATAGAACAGAACCTCAAGGAAATAGTTACCCATCAAAGTCCTAATAGGAAGGCTCAGGTTTTAGGTCCGACTTTCAAATCCCCAATTTCAGATCCTCCTAAACTCGCTGTTATGAGACTGCTCAGACAGGTTCTGGAGGATCCTGAGGAAGAGGTTAAGATAGATGGGGTGTTCCTGAGAGGGTTATTTTGTTTCATTTTGGAGCATAAGTTAGCCAGGTTTCTTTTGTCACTTGGAAGTGCTTTATTTCCCAACTGCATCTTTTATGAGTGCCCATTGAGTTTTCTTCCACAGAACGTCACCCTTCTCCACAACTGGGAGTTAAGTCCACGGATTGGCTTTTTCCTTGCTGGTCACAGAAATTGGAGCTGCAGTTTGATGGCTTTTGCTCTGGACTGAGGAGCTTATCACAGCTGCTCTTGGGGCTGGCATGTGGGTTCAATGCATCCTGTTCCCTGGGAGTAGCTACTGTTCCCTCCATCGCCCCCCCCACCCCAAGTCTTCTCAGGCCCATGGGAGAGTCCTGCCATGTTGCTTTGCAATTCTAGGTGTGGTTCTTCCCCCGAATGTCCAGATCATGCCTGTCTTCCTGACTGAGGAGGAAGCTGTCAGTCTCCATGAGTTCCCAAGGGAGCACATGAGTAGGTAAGAAGGGGCTCACAGGGTTCATCTTAAACCATGCTTGAGAGACCCCCTCAAGTGGTTTATCCAAACCAGCCCCTGGTACCTCCTATCCCCTATTAATTCCATCTCCTGCATGCTCAGCCTTGGAGAGGGCATCTGGAACTTCAGCATGGAGAGAAGGGGCAGCTGGCATAGTGAGATGAGTGTGGACCTGTTGCTTTTCAGACGTATGACCTGGGGCAAGTCCACTCCCTGCATGCGCCTCAATTTTTGGATCTGTAAAGTGGGCCCAGTAAGTCCTACTTTATGGGCTTATTGTGACAATTGGAAGTACATGTGTAACACCCAGTAGAGGGACTGACTCAGTAGACCTTCAAATGTGGGTGACCCTTATTCAGTGGGCCCTGCCATTTTCAGGTGCTGATCCTGGTATCACTGTGTGAGGCCCTGAAGGCCAGACATTGCTTGATTTTTACTCCTGTGTTTTGACCATGCTGGCCTCTTAGGTTCTGTGGCCTCAGGCACTTACTTTTTCTCCAAACCTGTGCTTTTTAGGGAAGTGGTGCTTTAGTCCCCCATCAGAGCACTTGCCCCCACTCAGTGCTGGGCCCCTTCCTCACATCTGTCTTGTTTGCCAGTTCTCCTGCACCTTCCTCCAGACTCCAGGAGCACTCAGCCCCACCCCCTCCAGAGGGTTGGAGCCCATGTGTCCTAAAAGAAAACCCCCCCAAGCATTTGGAGTCCATGGCCTGGTCATCGGCGACCCTCCCGGAACCCAGTCACCCAGATGTTGCTTGGCCAAATGGCAAGGGGGAGAATGGACACTTGCCTGACTGTGACTTGGAGAGCATCCAGCCTGCTGAAGTTCACAACACCACCAGGGACAACGGTCCCCATCTCAGCTGTTCCCAGGTGAAGGAACCTGATTTGTCCAGGGAGAAAGGGGAGGTGGACTTGTGTGAAATCCACATTCCAGAAGCTCAGGAAATGGGAACATCAGGTCATTTTGCTGCATGTGCTTCAGATGACTCAGGTCCTTGCTGTAAGGAATCTTCTGGAGACTCAGATAATCTGGAACCCCAGCTGCCTGAGGCCTTGCCTGTGGGCCTTTCCTCTCCCTCTCCTCCTGAGAGGCTCTCCCAGAATGGAACCCTAGGAGAATTCAAAGGCCTTCCCCATGATAGCAGCCAGCCCCATGTTCCCAGAGAAGAGCACCTCCCTGGAAAGACAAGCAGGGCACTGTCATCGCCTGGCTTTGACTCCAGGCAGGGAGCTGCTAAGCTTCCTGAGGGAGGACAAGGTGTGGAGTGGTGTGCTGATGGGGTTCCTGAGAGCCTTGCAGCTCCAGACCCGGAATGCAGCCCGGGCTCGGCAACCTCACAGGGCAGCAGCCCCTCTGCGGACAGGATGGACAGTGGGCTAGCTCCGGCCTCCAGCATGGGGCTTCTGCGGAAGAATCTCTACACTCACCGTGTTAAAGGGCTGATGCTGTCTCTGCTGGCTGAGGAGCCACTGCTGGGAGATGCCGCAGCCATCGAGGAAGTGGTGAGTGTCTGCACATCGCTCCTGGCCCCTCTGAACCTGCCCCTGCTCCTAGCACCATGGACAGTGCACTGCTAAGGTTGGGGGTGGGGTGGGGTGCAATGTTAATGGGTGCAGCCTTCAGGCCTGACCTTCTGGGAATGGCCCCTGTTTATCCAGTGGGATAATGGTGTACCTGCCTCACTGGGTTATTGTGGAAAGCGAGTGAGTGAGAGAGTCCAGAGCAGAGCACAGGACCGGGTACTTCCTCAGGTTTCTCATGCAGGCCTGGCCCTGAACAGACCTAAGCTGGAGTCCTGGCACTCCCTAGCCCTTATAAAAATTTATTTTTAAAGAATTATTATTTTTTTAAGATTTATTTTATTTTTTTATGCATACAAGAGCTAGGGTGTAGGGCAGAGGTGCGGGGGGTGAGAGGATTCATCAGAGACAGAGTGGGGAGCAGAACAGGTGGATTGACTGAAATACACTGCTGAGGGGAGCAGTGGGCGAGGCAGGAGAGGTCTGCTACATCATGTGTGTCAGCTCGCTGGCTGGGGATCAAACCTGTGCTGCGGTGGCTGTAGATTTCCTCATAGAGCTGAGAGTTAGCCCCTTGAGCTACTAGGGAGGCCCCCATGGGCTCCCTAGCCTTTGGTTCTGCACACAGGCCCTGCCCCTCTCATCCCCTGGGTCCTCATCGGCAGTGTGGACATGTGGTGTGACCACACAGGTGATGGCTGCACGCACGGCCTCCTTACACCACTGCTGCTCGTGGCCTCACTTCCATGCGTGGGCTGGAGTGTTTACTGCACTGTGTCACAGCCCAGGTTGAGGGTTCTCAGAATCCCTGAGCTCTCTGTCTGAGAGTCCCCTTCGTAGAAGGCCTGGGACATCTGATGTGCTAATTGGCTCCAGAAGGCTCCTTTTAAACCACCCAGCCCCTCTTCACTTCAGGCATAGGCAGACCTTCTCCGGGCCGATTCCACACTGGAGAGCCAGTTGCTATAGTAACAGCCCTGCTTAAGTTGGCAGGGAATCTGTAGCAGTAAGAACAGCAGGTTGAAATTGCTGCGGGGTGAGTGGTGTCCTGGGGCTTGCCTTGTTTTTGTTCTTAAATCTATATTATTCTAAGCCGATCTTTTTAACATGCAGAGCTGGTGGCCCTCCTAAGCGAGCCAGTCACCTTGAAGCAGGAGGAGGGAAGGCGTCCCTTGCCCACAGTCCCTGGGCAAGACTGCTCCTCCCCAGCCCTGTCTTGCTTGTCTCTCCTTCCTGCAGACCCCACAATACCCACTGAGGCTTGTTTGTGTCCCACTCCTGAGAGCATTTTATCCTTCTCCTGCTCACAGCACAGCGAGTCCTAGTTGTGGTTGTAGAGATGCTATTTTGAAGGCCTAGTATTTGGATGCAGTAAAGTTGATATCATATCTCATTTCTACCTTCACTCCTAAAAAGAAAAGAAACAACAACAGGCTGCTCTTGGAAAGGAAGTAATTGAAGATGGGTTCTGCATTAACTCTATGCTAAATACTTGCCATCTGTTGTTTCTGCCAGGCCTTAGGACAGTTCTGGGGGTGGGCATGGCCACTCCCATCGTAACAGGAAGACACAGCCTCTTTAAGATAAAAACCCTGTGCAAGTTCTTGTCCCCCCCACACCAGCCTCTATTCCCCCACTGATCTGACTTTGGGATGATAAAGATGGGAAGGGAAGGCGGAAATGCCCTGCCCTCTGGCTTTTCATGTGCGGTTGTGTCACTTGGTCTGTCCTGGCATATCTGTTGTTCGGACAGTAGCCTTCTGGCTCACGTGGACAGGGGTTGGGTATTGGGTAGGGGTCAGGAAAGAGACTGCAGCTTAGTGACTAGTCTTTTCTAAAAAAAGAGGGGAGGACCCACTTTGAACAGCTTGCTGATTTGGGAGCGGGTTTGTTGATCAGACCCAAAGGCTGGCTGCTTCATAATTGGGAAAGATTGTTTAGTGCCTTTTTGTCCTGGACTTGCATACAAAGTACTTGACCTCATTTCCCTTCAGACCTTGGCTGCTGCCTGGAAAAGCAGGCCCCCAGCCAAATGGTGACTTACAGTGAAGGTGTGGGCACATCTGCCTCTGCAAGGGCTGCTTGGTAACATCGCACACCACCAAGGCACCCTTTTGTCATTTTGCCAGCATTGTTCAGTGGAACACCTGGTGCCTCTTTGTTTGCTGAGGGTGGGCACATGGTGTGCAGGAAGGGGCAGTGCAGGGAGCAGCCAGGAGAGGGCAGGATTAGTTCAGAGCAAACAGTAGTTTCACACCAGGGGGCAGCATAGAGCTGCTGATAGTTTCTTCTCAAAATCCAGAATCATCACCTTGACCTTCAAATGCAGTGAAGACATCAATTATTCTTTTTTACGGGAGGACACTGAGCTGAATGCATACAATAGATGAGACTCGAGGTCAGTGCGAGAGTGTTGGCATAAAATACTTTATGAAAAAGCAACCCTCCCCTGTGAAGCTGGTGTGTCATTTCTTCTGCAGGCTATGGTGCTGTTGGTCCCTTGCTTCACTTTGCACTAGAAGCCAGAGGATCCAGGAATTAGCCCCAGCTTCACGTCTGTTGCGAGCATCACGTGTGTGTGTGTGTGTGTGTGTGTGTGTGTGCCTGCAAACTAGTAAAGACATGCATAACAGATACTTCTTCCGTGCACAGCTATTCACTGCTGCTATTGTACTAAGCCACCATAGATAGTGTGCGCATGATGGTTTGCTGTGTACCTATGATTTGTGGACGTAGAAATTGGAACATCATAGAATTTCCATGTGTTGTAGTGTTCATCATTTATTTTTTTCTTAACCACATAGAAATATGAAAAACACTCTTAGTTCTCAGACGACAGACCAGATTTTAGGTACAGGTCGTAGTTTGTTGATCCTGGTATATATGAAAGCACTTGGGCACCTGTTAAAAATCATCCACATGTCATCTGATATGTCTTGTGATTGACAGTGTTTGTGCTTAAGAGATTTTCACCTTGAATACAAGTTGGGCAGATTTTGGAAGTAAGGCTCAGTGTGTACAGGGAAAACTCAGGCTTTGGCATGGCTCATTCTGTGTTCTCATCTTCCCTTTTTCTGGGCACTGGCTCATAATGGGAGGGATGACTGTCATTAGGTTTCTGAGGCCTAGAAACTTCCAGGGAGGCTGTCATTTTATTTCATGATGAATGCTTGTGCAGGTGTGGCATGTGTGTGTGCACGCACACAAACACCTATTCAAATAGGAGGTTGTGTTGAACTCTGTGTTGGTGAGCTCACACCAGCCATCTGAACAGGAGAGATTATGCTTGTCTTTGCTCTCACTGTGCACCCTCACTTTAAATCCTGTAGCTCATAGGTTGCATGTGCTCAGCATTGCATGCGCTTGTTTGTCTGTGCATTACGTATCTAGTAAGTGCTTACTGAGCACCTGCTAGGAGTCACGCACTCTCCTAGGCATTGGGGACACAGTGATGATGCGTAAAACAAACCCTTGTGTGTGAAACCTGTTGCTTTTGAATACCACTTCTAAGACATTCAGATCTCATCCCCATCTCCTACCCAAACTAACACCTAAGCGCCATGACGTTCACCCCAGAAGCATTCTGTTTGTGTCTCTGGACGCTTTATGTTTACTCACTTTCTTACAAGTTGTTGAGAAATAGCCCCCACACAAGGCTCTGTGCTCACTGAAGAGATGCTACTTTAATAAAGATAATGCTCATTTTCTTGACTCCATAAAAGTGTCTTCCCTCAGGCTAGCACTTGAGAGTTAACAAAGGAATTTTATCTCTTTTATTTCATTTAACCCACTCAGCTATCATGTAGTGTTTCCAGTTTGTAGATTAAAAAAACACAAAAAAAAATGGGGCACACACCAGTCAGTAACTCTCCCCTGGTTATCTGGCCAGGGGGAGGTGGGCCGGGATGTCCCTCCCCCAGGAGCCATGCTGCCTGGGACAGTGACCTCCTTTTGGTGAAGCAGCACCCGAGGAGCCCAAGTGGCCAGCTTCAGAGAGCCCACCAGGGTGAGACTGATGTACTGAGTCAGGCTCCTGTGCAGCCGCTGGGGCTGGCGTTGCAGGAGAACAGGTTAAGGATGAAGAAGTAGTTCATGCTGGAGCACTCAGCGAAAAACCACTGTCGTGACTTATGGTTAGGCCCCACTTTCACTTTATAAAACAATCATATGCAAAAAATTTTTAATGTGAAAATGATTTGCAAGTTGCAACATGATGAGTAAAGTGAGCAAGAACTTCCATCAGCCTACCCCACCCAAGACCTTTGAAACTCAGAGCAAAAGGAAAAGGTCAGTGATTAAGAGGAAGTCAGCTGAGTGGTGGCTCCTGATTCTGTGTAGACTGAAGGGTGTGTCATCTTTGTATCCCCAGTGCCTGACATTGTTCTCACATGTGCATGACCAGAAGGTTTATTACAGTATGGGTGCTTGGGTCTCCCCTCCTGGACGGCCTTCCTCTGCTGGGTTCCTCATCTGGGCCCCAGCACAGAAAGCCATTTGACCAATACTTCTCAGCCCTTCCAAGAACAATGCCCAGCTGCACCAGTCTAACACACTAGAGAGGGGGGCCTCGCTGCCAAGGACTTCTCAGCACCCCGGGGCTGGGTCAGGTGGGAAGGTGCTGAAGGGATGGTGATATGTTGAGCCTTTTTTCTTTTTAAATTGATTTTTCTGCTCATCTCTATTTCCTAATATTTAAGAAAGCCTTGGAATATAAGGATGGAAGTTAGGACATCTTTAAGAACAGGTAAAAGCTGGTCAGTCCTTTTTGCTAAAGCAGGTAGCCACTCAGAAAGGCAGAGTCTGAGCCTCCCCTGGTGACGCAGTGGTTGAGCGCTGGGCTGCCAAGCTGCCCGCAGCCTCTGCAGCGCTGGTTCGATCCCCGGCCACCAGTGAGGGTCCCATATGGCGTGCAGACCTCTCCTGCCACGCCCGCTGCTCCCCTCAGCAGTGTATTTCGTCAGTCTGCCTGTCTGTTCCCGGCTCTGGCCCTGGTGAATTCTCTCACCCTCCCGCACTTCTGACTGTACCCAGTGCTTGTATAAATAAATAAATAAACAAATCTTTAAAAAAAGAAAGAAAGAAAGAAAGAAAGGCAGAGTCTGTGGCCCGCTGAGGTTACCCTGCAGCCCGCCGCCCTCTCCCGGCCTCTCCACAGTACCACAGCAGCCTGGCGTCCCTGAACGGGCTGGAGGTCCACCTGAAGGAGACGCTGCCCACAGCGGAGGCTACCTCCTCCAGCAGAGCCTACAACTTCACACATTACGACCGCATCCAGAACCTGCTGACGGGTAAGGGGTGGATGCTCTGCGCAGAGGTGCCGCCTACAGGTGGGTGGAGGTGGGTGGCCGGGCCGGCTGCTGGTGCTCTGCCCAGAGCTGGCTGACTGCAGCTCGGATGCCGCTTTCTCACTTGGAGCCCGGCTCCCACTGAGTTTAGCATCACTTGGCAAACACTTCCTTGCTCATTTGTCTTTTTTTTTGGTTGTTTCTCCAACATTTTGAGAGAAGCACACACATGTTCAATGATCTGTGATAAGGGCTGCTTCAAAATTTTGATATTGATGTACCAAGCCCCGCTGTTGCTCATTATTGGGGACGATGTGTGCCTGTGGCGTGGTGGCAGCCGGAGGGGCACAGCAGCCTGGGGGCCTTTTGTCTTTCCCCTTCAGCCAACACACTTGTGGCTATGAGCCAGCTCCGTCCTCGTTTACAGTACAGGGGTGGGGAGGTGGGCATGAGGAATCAACTGTTCACAACTTCTGTGTCTCTTCTGGAAGCAAACCTGCCACAGGTGACCACATCCCAGGATCGCCGCTTCCTCCAGGCCGTCAGCTGTATGCATGCTGACTTTGCCCGGCTACCTGCGCTGTACGAGGTGACTGTCAGGTGAGCTTTCCTCTCCCATGCCTGCACCAGGAGCCTCCTCCAGGGGCCTGGGTACAGCCTTAGTCATGACAAGATGAAGAACATTCCAGCACCCTCCTGAACACTCTTTTAGCTTTTCCTGTTGCGGTCTACGCTTAAGCTTTCCTGTGTCTAGTATTTTCTGGGTCCCTTCCTGGGGCTCAATCCTGCTCTATTCACTTGGGTCCAACGGGGAAGAAATCTAAGGTCTTCACTGCTGTGGAGCCTCCACCTGTTCTGTGGAAGGAGGGTCTCTGTGTCCTTGCCAAGCAGTGCACGTGACGCGTTGCTGTCACCTGCCAACTCAACGGTCGTCTGTGCTCATTATAAAACCAGCAGACTTCTTTGATAGAGTTAAATGTTTTCCTCTCCTCACCCATCACATCCTCCAGAGACCCATACTTAATAGTCTGGTGTCTGTTACTCCTGGTTTTTTGGTTGGTTTTAGATTTTGGGGGGCACATAAATTATAGATCATTAGTATTTTTAATTTTGTGTTCTCTAGATCATAGGATCATACTCATTGACTCTTTTATCAGCTCCTTTTTCACTATTGCATATCTTGAATACCTCCAAGCCAGTAAATATAGGTCTGCTAATTCTTACTGTAATTTACACTATTCAGCCAACTGAATTCTTTTTCTCTCCACATGCTCTCTTACGGACCCAGAAGCAGGAAATAAGGCAAGTTCAAGGGGCAGAGGGAGTGCCTGGTTGTATATATTGTTCCATTTAGTCCTTGGCACAATTTGGTCAAATGTATTTTTAATCCTCGTTTTAGAGATGAGGAAATTGAAGCACAATTAGGATAGGCAATTTGTCCCAAGGTCACTTTCTTATTAAGTAGCAGAACCAGGATTTGAATCCAGGTTTCTCTGACTCTAAAGTGCTTGTTCTCGTCACATTCATTTTCAGGGGCTTGTGTGGTCAGGGAGTGGGGGTGCTTCTGATCCCCGTTACCTGCCATACCAAGTGCCACGACATTTCTGCTGCCCAGCGCCCATGTCCAGCCAGTGTTTGAGTCCATCCATAATAAGTGTATCTTTTCTGGCTTTAAGGCAGAGCTGCCCCAAGCTGGCTGCCCAGATGTGCAGTCACTGGTGTGGGAACTTGTTGTATTGCTGGGGTTGGAGGGGGTGGCAGGTAGGAACAGTGAAATCTCAACACCTTATAGTACCACTCTTGGAGCTGAGGATGGCAGCTGACAGTAGCACGTCTAGTGTTAGGATACATAGTTCAGGGCATTTGTTGAGAGATTATTTTAATAATAGTAATAGAAACAAGTATCATTGCTTAACCACTCACCATGGGCTAAGCAATTGATGTGTATTACCACTTACTCAGTCTCTTCAAAAATCTCAGGGAGGAGATGTGCTGTTGTCATACCTATTTTATAGATGAGAAAGCTGGGACTCAGAAAGGTTGAGTAACTTAGTCAAGGGCACACAGCACAGTGCGAATTAACACCCAAGTCTGTGTGACTCCAGATCTCTGCTGTAACCACCAGGCGGAGGTGCCGCTCTGAGGCTGGGATGGCCTGTCCGTACTCGTCCTCTTGTACAGTGTGTGAGACAGAACACGTAGGCCAGGTGGGCCCTTCCTACCCCTGGAGGTCTCAGGAGAAGCTGCAGGAGACGAGACTCCCCCCCGTCTTTATACGGAAGGGAGCGCTAGGTGAGGGGATTCTTAGTGGTCCCTGACATCATGCTTTTTTTTTTTTTTTTTTTTTTATAATAAATTTTATTTTTATATTCCCCCATACAATTGCAAATGCCCCATTCTGACCCCAATCCTTCCCCTCCCGCCCCCCACCCCCCAAAAAGTGTCTCTGGTTCATAGTTTTTTGTTGATTTTGATTTTCACTTTCTTATATTCATTTTCCTGGTCCCTTATTTCAGTTTTCTAGATTCCTGCTATGAGTGAAACCATCCGGTATTTTTCTTTTTCTTTTTGGCTTATTTCGCTGAGCATGATCCCTTCCAGCGCCATCCATGTTGCTGCAAATTGCATGTGTTTATCTTTTTTGAATGCTGAGTAATATTCCATGGTATATATGTACCACATCTTCTTGATCCAGTCATCTATTTTTGGGCATTTGGGTTGTTTCCAAAGCTTAGCTATTGTAAGCAGTGCTGCTATAAACATAGGGGTGCAGGTGCTCTTTGGAATGGATGTTTCTGTGTCCTTTGGGTAAATACCTAGGAGTGGAATTGCTGGATCCTATGGAAGCTCTATGTTTAGTAGGTCCAGAAATCTCCACACAGCTCTCCATAGTGGTTGGACCAGTTTGCACTCCCACCAACAGTGCACAAGAGTTCCTTTTTCTCCACACCCTCGCCAACATTTGTTGTTGCTAGTTTTTTTAATATGTGCCATTCTCACTGGTGTAAGATGGTATCTCATGGTAGTTTTGATTTGCATTTCCCTGATGACAAGTGATGTTGAACATTTTTTCATATGCCTGTTGGCCATTTGCATTTCCTCTTCAGAGAAGTTTCTTTTTAGCTCTTCTGCCCATTTTTTGACTGGATTATTTTCTTTGTTGTTGTGAGTCTCATCAGCTCTTTGTAGATTTTTGTGATCAGTCCTTTATCATTAGTGTTGGGTGCAAAAATGTTCTCCCAGTTGGTGGGGTTTCTCTTTGTTTTTGTTATTGTCTCTTTTGCTGTGCAGAAGCTCTTTAATTTGATGTAGTCCCAGCTGTTTATCTTTGCCTTCACTATCACTGCTTTGGGTGATGTGTCTGTAAAGACTGACATCATGCTTTTTATAGGAGACTTGGGGAAGTTGAGGCCCCAAGGGGAAGTAGCTGAGAACAAAAAGACAGGCTGAGAACCTGACCCTGGAGTCGGGTCTGGCCAGGTGGGTCCTCCTCCAGCGGGCCTCTCATCTCTCCCTCTGTTCGCGTTACTATTTCATGTTCCTCTCTTCTTTCCCCTTTGCCCTCGTGCCTCACCTAATCTCCCCTGCAGACTAGGCATACCCCTCCTGTGGGCCTGTCAGTGCTTGTCCTGGAGGCCCAGCACCAAGTATCCTCACCACAGGGTCCTCTTCTGTCCACGGGTCAGTCCCTACCTCATAAGGGTGTGTGAGGAATAAGCCAGGCCATGTGAGAAGCATTTTGCACAGCTGCTAGTGTGTTAGCAAAGCGCCCACCATTTCATTTATTTAGTGACTCCAAATTCAGACTCTGGCTGTGGCCACAACGGATTGTCCTGCCACTGACAGTCCCATCATCCAGCGAGCTCAGAGGAAGGGAAGATGGTTATTGGCATCAATGCCGATATCTCAAGTGCAGAAGTCGAAGCCCGCGCCACGATGCCTGCCCCCTCCTGAGCGCACCTCCCGAGGTCCCTGGTCTGCGGTTGCCAGGCTGTGTCAGTCTCTTGTCTTTCTTCCTCCGGCAGAAACGCCTCTACAGCTGTGTACGCCTGTTGCAACCCTGTCCAAGAAACCTATTTCCAGCAGCTGGTGCCGGCAGTGCGGAGCTTGGGCTTCCCAAGCGCACAGGATAGTGCCTTCAGCCTGCCGGGCAAAGCCAGGCAGAAGCTGCTAAAGCACGGCGTGAACCTGCTTTGAACCGAGCCACAGTGGGAAGACCGCTGCCCCGGCGAGCAGGCAGAACGCAGAGCCAAGGAAGCTCTGCCTTTTACGTGGAAAAGGCCCTCTCTTTTATCTTTGGTGGGTTATTCCTATTTTTTAAGGAATGTGTGGTATCTGTTACTCCTGTGCAGATTGGGGTGTGAGGGGTGGGTGGTTTCTTCAGATCACAGACCTAGAGGTCAAGATGAAGAACTTTCCTTAACTAGCAGTATTGGGCTGGGTTGGGCACCTGGACTGCTCATGTCAAAGAGGCACAGGGCCACTGGGTTTCCGTCACACTGGGCCTTCCACCCACACTTCCTGCTGTTCTTCCATTCTAGCCTTAACTATTAGCACACAAACTCAGGTTGGCTTTTTTCCAAGAAACTGGTTGTCCCTAGTCCCCAGAGGGCTTGTCCAACCCTGTCTCCCCGGGGGTGGGGGTGGTGGTGTGAGGTGTGCTGCCCAGGTGGGTTTGTGAGCAAGCAGACCAGATCCCCCACCTCTCGGGGCCGTCAGAGGGGTCGTCCTGGGAGGTCTGCACACTTCATGCAGGGAGGCAGGCAAGGGTGCCGAAGCTTCCTTGTGGGAATCTTCTGGAACTTTATTCAGAATGAGGCTCCCGTTCTTTGGAATACCCCAATGGGGGCAAATTGTGACAACATGGAGGGAGAGTCTGGGGTCTTGAAAGCACTAGCGTGCCACGACCAGGGGAGTGGGTGACAACAGACCTGACTGTGCACATCCAGTTCCTCTTGGGTTCCTGTCCCAAAATGGGAGTTTCTAAAATGCTTTGGGGCCAAGGCTGTGTCCTGTGGTGGCTGTTGAAAGGGAACAATATTCACTCATTCTTCTGGCTGGTTAGTACTTAAAATATCAGTCGATTGCATTGTAGACGAGACGCTTTATGACAATATGATGCAGCTCCCAGGAAGAAAATGTTTCCAGAATCTTAACTGATGTTTTACTGGAAGCTGAGATTCTGTTTGAAAACTGTGATGTTAATAATTTCATGTCAGCGAACAGATACCTGAGGTTTATGACATGGTGTCTTTGTCTTGAAAACAAGTTTGCAAGCACTAAAAATAAAATAGCTGAATCTGCTGTTGAGTTCTGAGTAATCAAATAGTGACATCTCTTGCACAGAGTTGAGGTGAGGGTTAAATACTGCCTGTACGAGTTTTGTGTGGACGTAGTGCTGATGCTTAACCCCTCGCACCACCAGGGAGGCCCTGATCCACTCGTTTCTGCAGCAGAGCTTGGCTCCGTGTCCTGAGCAGAGCTGTGATGTGACTGTGGCCCAGCAGCTGCTAGGAAGGGGACCTGAGCCCCTTCCTTCCTCGGCCATGTTTCCCAGGTTCACGAGGCCCCAGAACATTGTTGAGTGTCAGCCCTAGGCCCACACACTCAAAATTATTCTCTAAGCACAAGGCGCGGGGCCAGCGCTGGCCAGGCAGCCCTCTCCCGCCGAAGTGAGCCCCACGCCCTCCCTGCAGTGTACCCAGGGAAAGTGGCCTTTGCAGGACAGCCTGCCTTGCCTTAGTTTACAGCAGACACTAGTGTGCCTCTGTCATCCTGGACAACAGCCTCATGTGAGCAGGGGAGATGGGAGGACAGGAAGTGAAAGGGTGAGCAGCACGAAGGATTCCTGCTGGGGAGGGGTGTCTGTTCCCTTGGGACATGGAAGCCCATTCTACTGCCTCCCCGTGGAGAGAAACACCTGGGTTCCTCTGCTCCTGTACCCTTCACAGCGGAGGTTGTGTCTTGGTTGAAGTCATCTCTCCTGTCTCTTGGGTGGTCCTCTCTGCTGCAGCAGGGATGCTCTTCACAGCCCCGAGTTCTTGGTGTTCCCACCCATACCCTTCAGTGAGGGTGGGCACCCTTGCCCCAGGCCATGGGACCTATGGAGTGGGCTGAACGGTGGCCCCCAATGGGGTCCTGGAATCCATGTTATCTCATAAAGGTCGTGCAGGTGTAACTGAGTGAAGGTCTTGAGCTTATCCCAAATTATCCAGCCCTAAACACCATCACAGGTGTGCCTAGAAGAGCGAGCAAGAGAGGGGGCTGTGTAGGTGATGCAGGGATTGCAGAGATGCGGCCGCGAGCCCAGGAGCACGTGGGGCCACCAATGCCAGGAGAGCAGGAGTGGGCTCTGCCCCGGGCCCCCTTTAGGGAGTGTGACTGTTGATTTGTTGGTTTAGGTCCAAGGAAACTGATTTCGGGCTTCTGGCTTCTCAAACTAAAAGAGTAAGGGTTTGCTCTCTTACGTCATCTGGGTTGCAGCAGTTCGTTACAGCCGCTCGTGATAGTAACACCAGCTGGCACCTTGATGAATCCTGGTGAGTCCAAGCCCCGGCCTTTCAGTGTCTCAACAGGGCACAGAGCAGGGGCGGGGAGTGAGGAGGATGGGGCACACCACGGAGGGCTGGGGATTTGTCCCGGATCCAAGGGGAACCTTTAAGTAGGTTGTATGGTGCGCATGTGCCTGCACACGCCTACCCACACGAGGGTAGACCTTGACCTCCACCTCTGAGGCCCTGCGGCCAGGGAGGGTGCTGGCAACAGCCCTGCGTGCACACTGAGGAGCACAGGAACGAGCGTGTGGCCTTTGGTGTCAGAGACGTGGGTTTCCTGCCCAGCTGTATGGCTTGTGTTGTGGAAACGGGGCCAAGTGACCATGTCTCCGAAAGTCAGTGTTATCTTTTTTAAATGGAGAGGAAAAGGTTATGTGGGGGTCACACCGCAGACCTCAGAGGTGGAGACCGCCCCTTGAGGTCGTGTGTAGGGAGTCCCGCTGAGCCCTGTGCAGTGAGGCCTGAACGCCCGTCTAGGGTTCAAAAGGCCGCGGATGCTGAGCTGCGAGCTTGGACACCTGGTCTTTTATCGCAGCTTGTCCTCCAGCCGACCACAGGACCTTGTTCACGTCAGCTGCCCGCCAGGAGGCTACGTTTTCTAGGGTGACGCACGCGTAACGCCCCTGCAGACCCCAGTGTGGCCTCATGGTCCCTGGGGTAATTGTGTATGTGAAGGAATGTCAGAGTGTACTCTTGCCTTGAGTCCAGGGAGGCCAGTGCAGGGGCAGGGGAAGGGGGGGGTCTGGGAAATCAGGACCAACATGTGTGCCTGGGAAGGAGGCAGAAAGGGAATCAATCTGTGTGTGTTGCCTCCTGCCACCCTATGCCACAATCTGCCCAAGTATCGTCACTGCCATCTGTCAGCCGCTCTAAAATACATGGCCTTATTCTGTCCTGTTCTCCGTGTTTACATCTGGTTAGCGCTTCAGCTGGGAGGTAAATGTTATGGAAAAACTCCTGGCAGCAGAGCATGATGGTTCTGAAAAACAGCATTTTGTACTTGGCCTGTTTGTCGTAGTTCCATTAAAATAAACTGTGTGGGGCCCTTCCATCATCCACCCAGAACTTGGCATATGACCTTATCCAACCCTTACTTTAAGCCCATGACGGTAGGCATTAGGGACATTTTCTAGATGAAGTTCAGAGTGGACTAGGGCTTTGGGTGGTGAGAAAGCACAACCCAAATTTAAGATTAAAAGAAGCTTTATTGGCTCATGTCACTGAAAAGTCCAGTGGGAGGGCTGATTCCAGGCAAAATTGATCAGGACTCCTGCTTTTTGCTGCTTTCTCCTTGGGTTTCAGCCTCAGGTTTTCTTCACACTAGTAATGAGTAGATCCCTGCTCCCACCCACTCATGAGCCGCCTCCTCCAGCCCTGACTGAATCTTAGTGCCCTGGGGTTTGGAAGGCTGTGGTGAGGGGTGTCTAGCCCTGATCCAGTCTCCGAGTTGCCAAGCGTTTGGAAGATTGATTGGTTGGATCTGGATGAAGTCTAGCCTGCAGCTGGGGATGGGTCAGGTCTGGAAATTCATGGCCTGAGGATGGGGACCTTATTATCTTGCAAGAGGCTCAGCAAGGTACTGAAGGTATTAAAAACAGCAGCCAAACCAAACAGCCAAAACCCAGTGGCCACCCCCTAGAGACTACATGTGGGTGGCCTGCCTAGCATCGCACAGGGGCCCTGCCTCGCCTTTAACCTCGAGCTGCTAAGCTTCAAAGGCCTTGCCATTCTTGTCCCTCAGGGTGGCAACCCTCAGCCCTAGCCAGCTGCACAGGGCAGGAAATCAGTTAAAACAAATATGGGGCTGGGACCCCATCCCTTGGCAAATGAGGTTGCTTCAGGGCTGGAGCACGGGTATCTGAATTTCCCAAAAGCTCTCTGGATGACTGTATGGTGCAGCCAATACAGTGGCTTAGGACTCCTCTGCTCTCCCCCACTGTCCACTGTAGACACCCACTGTGACAGGTGTGGTCACTATCATGGGTTCGGGTGGAGTTTGCACTGGTGCGAGTGATGGGAGACATCTCTGTAGTCCTCTAACAGCGAGCAGGGTCAGCGGGGACTGTTCAGAGTAAGTTTCTTAGTAACTCTGAGGAGATGAGACAGACTGTCCTCAAGGCCGGTCCTGTCCCTCACGTGGCATGGAACCTCACCGGCAATGACCTTGGCTGCCCAACATGTTTTCCTCTCAGTTCCATCCAAATGGCAGAAAGACACTGGTCATTCCACAGCCATTAGTGTCCTGAGTCCTGGGCATCTGGTGATTTCCTTGCAAGATAATCCGATACACTAACAAGTTGTACCTGTGGAAGAATATCTTCCCCAATTGCTCAGACTGCCATTTATCACTTTAAAAGAGCGATGATGCAATTTTCATTATTTTAATGATTTGAGTCAAGTGACCAAATCTGGTATAGACTTTGGGGAGTGTGTGTGTGAAGTTTTGCTCATTCTGTAGTATTTATGAATGGAATGCCTTGCAATACGAATATTCATACAATGTGTAAACACAGGTTAAAGAATTTGAATGAAAAAACAATACCACTGAAGGACTCAGAGACCAGACCACGCAGAAGAGTCTGGGAGGCCTGGGCTGTGACCCAAGCGAGTCCCAGGGCTGGGGCTGCTGGCCTAGGGTGGAGGTGGGGATTCTCACTTGTAGCCGGGCAGGAGTGCTGGCTCCCCTTTCTCACCTCAACCATCCCTCGCTGTAGCATGTAAATTACTTTAGCAACTGCGGAGTTGGCAATGCACACTGCAGTGTGTGAGACGTCTGCTGGGCGAGTGGGGCTGTCCCCTCCCACTTGGCTGGGACAGCCAGGCCTAGACTGTGGGCCGGAAGTGAAAACACCCGGCAGGCAGCCATTGCTCCCGGCCACCAGTCACCCGTCCCGCTTCTAAAACAAAGGGAAAAGATTCCAAATGTAGCTAAGGGAACTGCCTCTCCCCTTGTAGTTTGTCACAGGCCATCAAAAGGGTCACCTGACTCTTGGTCACCTCTACTGCTGTCCGGTGTTTATCCACCCCTCCAAGCCTATCCATCCTTCTTACTTGCTTCTCTAGAACTGCTGAGAACCACTGCGAGGGCAGAAAGGGGCCCAGCACCGACGCTTTAGATGCCAGGCCATCTCTACAGAGGCTGAGGGGCCCAGAGGCTCCACCACTTGCTGATGGCCACCAGGAGCAGGTCCTGGTGCTGAGTCCCTAATCCTCAGTTTTTCTGAAGCCACGGTCCTTAGTCTTCACCCAGGTTGACATCTGCAGTTTCTCAACATTCCATAGATCTGCTTTTCCTTCTCCCACCCCACCCACATACTTTCAAGAAGTATGTTTGGCTTCATTCACTTTTAGGGCCCCACCATCTCTGGGGCAGGATCCAAAGGCCGAGAGCCTCACACGCGTACGATCACCTCTCAGGGCTGCCGCCCGCGTCACACCTTCTCTCCCACAGACACCTGACCACTTGGCTCTGGGTTTCAGCAAGATCCTTTATTTATCTCCTGCCCCCCAGCCACGTCTCGTGAGGACAGGCAGCCAGGGACCTGTGTGGACTGTTGGCTTTGTAAACGTAGAGCAGTCAGTATGTATAGAAATCATGCACCGCAGTGATTCTTAACAAGGTACTTAATGAGTAAAAAGAGTTCAGGTGCGTTTGAAATTTCTGCCCTTTCCTGCGGTCTAATCACTGAAAAATATGCGTGTAGAAATTCTACTCAAATGTAGACACATTCTCAGTGACACTTGCTCGTAACTCTGAGCGCATTCAAGCGACATTGGCTTAACAGGTGTCCCTCACGGAAGCTGCCCGTTCCCACCAGGGATCAACACGGGACCTGCCCACGTGACAGGCTGCGTGTGCCACATGCGTGGCTTCAGAATCTGGTGCTGCCTGTCATACCTTATTCAAAAACAGTGTGTCTCTACTAAGGCTACAGACTACTCTTTCACAACTCAGCTAACAGGAGGATGTTTCTAGAATTAATACCTCAAGCTGGCCATGGCCCGCCCAGAAGCCTGCTCTGGGTGGCGGCTGCTCTGGGTCCGCAGGTCTTCGCGGTGTCTCACTCACACACACCGGCTCAGGCGGCCACCACTGGGCACGGGCCATGCGACGACAAGGACACAGGGCTGACACTTCCACTCTCCGAGTCCAGAGTTTGAACACTGATGTACGGACAAATAAATGGAAAATCATCGGCAACAGAACTCCAAAGCATTAACAGTCACTTGCTGAGATGTGCGATTCCAGTTTTGCCAGAGGGGCCTGCCCAGAGCGTCGCTGGATCCCTGGAGTCAGGGTTTCTCCCGCCACAGTTTCTCCACCAGCCTGGGGGTCTAAAATCCTTCATCGCCGTGGACTCCGAACAGCTAACACCGGACATTTTCCACGCTGGCTTGGCAGTAGGCTTCTGTAGGCAGTGAGGTCAGCGAACCACACATTCTGCAGCTGATCCGAGGGAGCCCCGGCTCTGCAGAAGAGTGGTGTTTACAGAAAAACCTCCAGTCCCACCAGCCCTGTGCTGCCATCAGGGGTGTGTCGGGTGGGGTGGCCAGTGTCCCCGTGTGCACTGCCCCAACCACATGCACCCCGACAGTGTAGTGGGCTGGATGCGGGGACTGCAGACGCTCCCCAGCTCTCTGGTCTGAGTTTGTTTTGTTGTTTTTTACTCTTAAGATGACCACAAGAAGTTTTATGTTGTTACATTCAGACAATAACCATTTGGTTCTTCTATTTCGGAGCACTAAAAAAAAAAAAAACACCCGAGTAGCAACACGACAAATGGGGCACCGCGCCTAAGCTTCCCGTCACGGGGCAAAGTGACGCGCCACTAGGCAGAAAGGGGTGACGGGAGCAAATGACTGACTGGAAAGAAAAAAAAAAAAAAAATCTAAGGAAATACAAGCTGAAAGTTTCGCATTCACAATAACCAAAGGAAAGAGGGACCTGACACGATACAAAAAATCCCCACTGAGAGCTTGAGAGCTTGAGAGCTTTCTGCCGCGGCCGCTTGCTGAGCATGGACTGTACCACAGCTCGGGCTGGGCTGCTCCGGTCTGCCCAGGCTGACCCTCACACTCTCACCAACTGCAGCACAGAAGTGTCCTCATCGTCCTGGGGCAAAGATGAAATCCAGGGCCTGCCTTTCAGCTGCTGCCACGTTTGGATGCCACAAATCCACCATGAAAACCACCCGTGGCCCATCCTCCACTGAACCTGTGGGGGACGAGAGCAGACAGGTTCAGACTCCCCCCGGGGCGGATCCAGGACCCACGCACGTGCTTAGCTTTCAGGCTGGGCCCTACCCCATCCCTTGGCCCGGGTCAGAAGCGCTCCATGTCTCGGATCAACAACGTTATCCCGGCTTTGCAAAGTTCTGAGCGGGGAGGGGGCAAGGAAGTGGGCAGGGAGAGGGATGGGTGCAAAAGTGGTGGGGCAGGGGGTGCACATAGGATTTTAGGACAGTGAAACTACCCAGCGTGATCCTGGAAGGGTGGATGCCTGACACCGGCTAAGTCCTTGCTCAGTGGCCTCTGTAGGGTCTTGGGCCAGCGCAACTCAGTGCAATAGTGTACAGAAAGCAGAGCTTGGATAAAGCTGGCCGGGAATTTCTGTGATTTAAATCAAAGACATGAAGAGAAGACTTGAACAAAATGACACTCTTCAAGGAACTGCTGTGTGCTTTTATCAAAATTCACAGAAGATAAACCAAGAGTGAACCCTAATGTAAGCCATGGGCTTTAGTTCGCAGCGATAACGCGTTAGGACTGGCTTATCAACAGTAGCAAATGACACTATTGCAAGGTGAACATAAAAGGGGAAGCGGTATGTATGGGGGTGGTGTGACTTTCTGCTCAATTTTTCTAGAAACCTAAAATGCTTTTTAAAATAAGATCTACCAGTTACAAAGGGAAGAGAAGGCCTTGGGGAGGCAGACACTCACCCTCATGGAATGCAGTGTGCAGAAAAGAATCATCAAAGAGTAGGCAGCGTCCTTCTGCCCAACACTGGGGCTCCCCCCCCACCACCAGCTCACAGCCACTTGGAGTTTTCAGACCTTTGGGGGGGAAAAGCAGAGAACAGAATGAAGGATGGGAATTGGCTGGGAGCCAGGGCAGCCTGCAGCGGGGGTTCGCAGTAGACCTTTACCCCTTGGAGCCCCATTTGGGGCTGGGAAGTTCCATGGGGCAAATACAAGCTGTGCACCGCTCCTCACTGTGCTCCTTGGAAAACGGACTTACTCTGTTCTGGGCCCTGGGCTCCTCTGGTTAAAGTCACTACACTTCTGAGACTCCTGCAACCCAGCCACAGGACCCCGGGAAATCAAGGGGAGCCAGAGTGAGAGCCCCTTCCTGCCCAATGACTGCGCTTGCTACAGTGTCGTCTCCAGGGCTGGTTTAGTTGAGATTAAAGGCGCAAAGACACACATAGTGCTCCCTCCTGCCCCTTGGGTTCCAACCTTTAAATCCATTTTGAAGCCCGCAGATGGTGTTCTTAGTTGGCCTCATTTGGGGAAATTGGAGGACACCCCTAAAGAAAAACCTGGGCTTCAGGAGAAATAGACTGACCTGGTAAGGAGTCTTATGCCAAAATGCCAAATCGGGGGCCGCTCTCTGGTGCCTAACCTGGAAAGCAGCCCTGCTGGGCTTACCCTCAGGTGCCATCTCCAACCAGGGCTCAAGGGATGCGTGCCCCTGTCACTCCCAGATGCCTGCAAATGCCAGCACCACACAGCCACCTAATGGACTCAGAAGAGGCTGGTCAGCCTGACAGCTCACCAGAAGGACTGACGCAGGAGGAAGCAGCGGCCTGGAAGAGGGGCTGGGACCATGGTGTCCTTGTCCACAGTCAGTGACTCACAGTGACAGCCTCAACCCTGGGGTTTAATTTCCTTCACAAACGTAAAACAGCTTTCTCTCAAAGAGCCAGAGGATGCATGTACCCTCTGAGCCAAAATGGAGTCAGGAAGCTCGTCTGGGGTGAGAAGTCAAAGAGGTCACTAGGGAGAGCAGGAGTGCCAGAGGTCCTGGGGTCAAATGACGGGCTTCGCCCCCGATGGGCTGTGTGACTTTGGGCACGCACTCCGCCTCTCTGAGCCACAGCCCCCTCATCTGTAACGTGCACATTAGCAGACTTGCCCTCCCGGTTCCGCGGCTCTTCACTGACCGCTGCAGAGTGACCGCGCTCGGCTGTGTGTTGACTCTACGCTTGACAGACCTCGCAGAGCCCCTTTCCAGATGGGCACCTGAGGCTTAGAGAAGTAGACCTTCTAGAAGTCCCTGTCTAGTCCTTGCCTCTTAACTCCAAATCTAGTCTGGTTCCAGAACAGGCTCTTCTAACACCGGCCAGAATGACCTACATGCCGGGGGTTGTGTTAGGAGCGTGCTAGCAAAGGGACTGCCGATTTTCCTGTAGTTAATGGGTTTCAACTACTGACAGTTCTTTCATTGACTCATCCACCTGGCCCTGGAACTTTGGGGGGAGGGGGAGGTGGTTAGGGTTGTAAAGGGGTTCAGCCTGCACCTCTCTGGCCGAGATGGAGTGAGCCCCACGGGCCATGTTCTCTTCGCGTGCGAGCCTCCAGGTGGAGGACGCGCTGGGAAAGGCAGTTTTCCGCAGAGCACACACAGTGAGCCGCTAGATGCTCCACTGCCATATGCTGTGGGGTAACAGAAAGGGGCTGGCTTGCTGGCTTGACGGCCCCCACTATCCACCTCCCCTTCCTTCCGTGCCAGCCTTCCAAGGGCCGACCGCCCCTGCCGAGGGCCCGCAAACCAGCTTCATCGGGAGAAATACGCCCCCCAACAGTGCTTGGGTGGCCTTTGGGGATACAAACAGCCTGCACATGGCAGAGGCCAGTCCCACACACTGGGCCCCCTTGATGGCTCGGGCATCACTGCTCTGAACCCACCAGCCACTGAGGGAGTTGGGGAAAGAGGAGAAAGGCTCTTCCACAGCAGTCCCCACTTCCGGGAGGCTGGCGGCCGGCTGGGCAGAAGGCAAACACCAGCTGACCCACTGGGCCCATGGGCCCCTGCAGCGAGACTGCCTGGAGATCTGACAACATGCATGAAGGGAACAGGGAGTCTAATGGCGCTTCCTGCAGGAGAAGGCAGGGAACACTCATGCATTCCCCGCCCCCTTTCCCGGGTCAGCCACTTGGACAGGTGTCTGCCTCCCTGCAACATCTGCCTGCTTAGCTTCCAGACTGCTTTCTGGGGGCTACTGGCAGTGCAGTCAGGACTGCACTGTATGGCCCAGGCCATACACAATGTGGGGCGGCGCTGGGCCAGGAGCGCCTGCAGTTCCGCCAGAGTCCAGACTGAGTGAGGACTGGAGGGGCAGCTCAGAGCAGGGCTCAGCGAGTGTGTCTCAAAGACTGAGTCAATAAACAGACTAGTGGGGATTTCATTCACCCAGAGGGATAATTCCACTGATCACAATTCAGAGGGAAGGCAGCAGCAGAATGTAAATGGCTGGCATTTCAAGAACACTGTTCTGGAACTGTAGGTGCCTGCTCTGCCTTCAGCCAGGCACGTACCAGGCTTACTCTGCTTCTGACCTCATTCTCTCGACTCCCTCTGTCAACACAGCGAGGTCATGCGACTCTAACACACCTTTGTTTCCTTCCGGGGTGGATGTGGGCTGGCAGTGGAAAGGAGGAAACACTGAGCAAACCCAACCACGGTGCTCGCCCGGGCCATGGGGGCCCGGCCACACTCCAGTGGGGCGTCCGCCAAGGTTTCCTGGTGTCCAGGGCAAGTTCCAGTGTCAAGGGACAGGCTGGGTGGAGAGGGAAGGACAGGTGATAAAAAGGGCCTGTGTGGGTGTGTCTCTTTCTCTCTTACACACACACACACACACACACACACACACACACACAGAGCAGAGATGCACAACAGCATTAATACACAGGAAGCAAATCTTTGGTTTTCTTGCCATCAGCCCTTCCTACCAACACACCTCCCTGAAATTCTACCACATCAATCCTCAAAGGCCTTTCCTACACGTCATTCTGAAATTTAAAAACATACAAGGAAAACCTTTCAAAAGACAAGCATGGCTCCCCACTGACCACATTTTCAATTCCCCAGCCCGGCATGGGGGGGGCCCTCTGCCGTTTGCTCCCTCCCACCCTGCCTGAGCTCAGCCCCACCAGCCCCCAGCAAGTCCACACACGGCTTTTCCCAGCCCCAAACCGAAGGCTCCTCTGCTGCCCCTGGCAGTCCCAGAGATCCGTGGGGTCAGACTCCTGCCCCCAGAGCAGCCCCTGCACCCCGATCTCTGCGTGTCCTGGTGCCCTGCACAGAAGGGCTCACCCCTCAGATCGGCCCGCGCCCTCACCCGTTAGTGGGCTGCCTTCTACCTACTGAGGCCTTCACACACTGTGCTCTGACCCTCCAAACAGCCCTCCAGGTGGGCGCCATCACCTCCATTCTAGAGAGAAGAAAACCAAGGGCCAAGAGTTGCAGAGCCCTGCCTGAGGTGCCTCCGCCATGGGGCTGACCCGTCTGACCCCGGAGTTGGCTTCCAAAGCCAGTCATGGCCACTGTCTCCCGAGGGCAGAGACCACGTCTTAAGGATCATTTTTTCATTCTGTCCAACATGGTGTTTGATCATAAAAGCGCCTCGCTCTCATTTGGCAAACATTGTCACAAACTGGGTACCCCAGAGCAGCCATAGAGGGTATTCCTTTATTGAACCCTCTCAATAGTGCCCAGGTAAGCACAACCTCTCCATTTTACAGACGGGGAAACTATGCCCAGGGACTCAGTCACCTGCCCAAAGTCTCACAGCTGGCCAGGAAGCCGGGTCACAGGCTGCAGCTCCTCTGCCTGGGCCGCCTCTCCTGAACTACTTACTCACCGCGGTGACTGCTCGAATCTAGAATCTAGCTCCTTTGGTGTTCCAGGCACAGCCTACTCAGAATACCAGAGACAGCAGGGAAAGCAGAGGGCGCTGTGGGGAAGCGGGGTGGAGAGCCGGGGCATCCAGCTCAGGTGCCCCCTCCCCTGCCCCAGGTAGCCCGAGACCTGGTTCAGCCTTTATCGAGGTTCCTCTGTGTGCTTTTCCTGCCTCCATTCTGAGGCATGTCCTCTCCCCTGGGGTGCTGGCTGACCAGTGATTCCCTTGCCCCCCTAACCAGCCTGTTTCCGCTACTCACCAGAACGAGGCATGCGGGGGAACTGAGGCCCCCATCTACCGAGTTGTTTCTGAGCCTACTGAATTCCGCCTGTGTGTGAATGAACGTTTGGCGGTACACATTACCTTATCAGAGACTCAAATGAACTCTACACAAGATGATCCTTTTCCCTCCTCTTTGCAAAGGAAGAAACTGAGGCTCAGAGGAATGAAGTGACTTGCCCAAGGCAGCACAGCCAGCGCATGCTGGGGCCAGGATGCAAACACCAGCACGCGGACGCCAGACCCTGTTCTCAGAACCCCTGCTGCACACACTAACTTCCTCAGAACCTGAATCTATTCAACACCAAGCATTACTTCACCCTTGGCGATCCAGAAGGCCCTCTGGTACCTTTCACAGCCTCCCGGACGTCATCACAACCCTCAGCAATCAGCGGAGCGGTCTCTGCTCTAGCGCTGCACTGTCCAATACAGGCGCCATCACCACAGGTGGCTGCTTACATTTAAATTTGGATTAAGTTAAAAAGCTGAGCTCCTAGGTCACAGCAGCCACACACCTCTCGAGTGCGGCCAGCCCGAGGCTAGGGGTGCTGTACTGGCCAGTGCAGACCAAGATCGGCCCCAGCACTGCAGGAAGTTCCTTTGCACAGTTCCTGTCAGAAATGAGGTTTACGCTGGTGACAAGTTTCCTTTTCTTACTCAAACTCTGCTGTCAAAATTTTCTATGCAATTTGTCTCTTTTCAGAGGAGGACAGTGAAGCATGTGAAAAAGCACAATTCTGGCACTGGGCTCTGGTGACTTCTGCATTCCCGTGAGTGGGGGACAGAGAAGGGCGCGGGCCGGGAGACCCGTCTCTGCAACGTACCTAAGTGGCATCGGATGCGGATGTTGGTGGGTCCATAGTGCTCCGTTATCACAGTCCCGGGGCTCAGCACGGAGATGCAGGCGTTCCCAAAAACATTGTTCCCAATACAGGTCCGAAGGCTTCCGAGCAAGCGGTACGTCCGTGGGCACTTCCTGCAGTTCCTGGGAACGCAAACCCCCTGATTGACCAAGTAAAAGGTGACCCACTCCCCGCTGGGGGTGCTGTTCATTTTCCAGCCTTGGGGGAGGCTGCAGTTTGAGAAAGCTTTGTAGAGAGCCTCAAACTCGCACAGGATGGTCTGGAAGTTACGTTCCAGCAACTCCACGTCGTGTTTCTGCGCATCGCGGGAAAAGTACGGCGTGGTGGGGAGGTCGGGCAGGAAGAAGACTTCGGGCTTCTGGATGGAGGGCCGGCTGTTGAGGTAGCGGCCCTGCTCGCGGATGCCCTTGTGGATGCGGCCCATGCCGGACCAGGAGTACCGCTTGGCGTACTCCTGCAGGTTGTGGTAGAGTTTCTGGTTGAGGCCTTCGTTGGGGGTGCAGCGCACGCACTCAGGGGACTGGCAGTACACGTACCCGTTCTGCAGCCCGTTGGCATCAGTCCCCTGGATGAGGGAGTTCACGGAGACATAGGGCCGGGGCTGCTCCCTGCCCACGTGGTAACAGTACCACACGAACAGGACCAGCAGGCAGGCCACGGTGACCACGGCGGTGGTATCGCAGTCCCGCACGGACTGGATGCCGGTGGCGATGCAGTCCCTCAGGCCATCCAGCGACCAGCTCCAGACCACCAGCCACTCGAGCGACATCTTGGGGGGGTGGGGAGTTGCGGTTGAGTGTGGGAAGCAAGGTCAGACAGTCAGTCCTCTGGGGTCCCAAGGGCACCCACGCCGCGGATTAGCACAGAGAGCACAGGGCGACTGGCGCGGGGTGGAGGCATGGTTGTCACTGGCCTCGGATCCCGCCAAGGGTGGCAATGACAAAGGACGAGGCCGTTATGCCCACTGCTTCTGGCAAAAGTCCCTGCAGGTAGGACAGAAGGAGGCGGTTTAGGTCACTTGCAAGTGGGGCTGGTTGATGTGGAATTAATTTTCAAGATGTCCAACCTGGGATGAAGAAAGGAAAAAACAGCATAAATTTTACACCTGGAAAAGCCCTCAACTGAAATGTAAAGTCCCACTGTGAAAGCTCCCGGTTGGCTGGGCGCACACTTCTCAGTCTTGTGTTCTCCCCCCATCTCACCGCCACCCCCATTTTCCAGAAGGCCAGCAGTGGTTCATCTGTGCCAAGGCCTGTTTGCTAATCGCAGGAGTCTCTTGTACTTTCTGTCATCCTTGGGAGGCGCTGCCATCTCTATTTTACAGAGGAGGACACGGAGGCCCAGCAAGGCCTTGCAACTCGCCCACGCTCACACCCCCAGCGCAGGGGCACGAACCCCATCTGACTTCAGAGCTGGAATCTGTCCATTTGCGATACTGTTATAGTATGCATTTATAAATGCTGCTTCTCCTTAAATGTCTGCACCTTTAAGTACAGAGAACTGTGTATTCAAAAGCATCTTAGGCAAAGGAACTTTAAAACTACTTGTTCTCCATTTTACATTCTCTTTTCGTACCACTTCATCAATTTGATTTCACCTCTTGCCCTTGACTTGGGTTGGGTGGAGCGGGAAAAGGAAGCGGGCTCTGTGGGGTCACTTGGGTGGCAGAGACGGGGCATTTTCTGCCTGCTGGTTTGAGAGAGACTGCCTGCCGGCCTGACGCATGGGGCTGTGCACATGAAATGATGGGACAGAATGGAAACAGAAGCCCTTTTAGGTCTGACTGCCTCCAAAACAGACAAGTACTTTGCCACACATGTCTCACCAACGGTTAGGGCCAGCATCTTGCACCCCGATTATCCTCACAGCCTCTAAGTATGGCTGAGCCTGGCTGTCTTGTTGCCTGTATCTTTACAACCTAGACCACATTTCCCTGATGAAACTCTTTGTCCATCCTGCCTTTCCTAATCCGTTGAGGTCAGCCAGGTGTAAGATCTACTACAAGTCTCACACATTCCTCATCTTGAGAAACAATGGCTGGGAAAATTACATTACTACTGTACCCTCTCTCTTCTCTCTTGGGAAAGAGAACAGAACAAATGGGAAAACTGTACCCTCCACTTTTTCCAAAGGTGGCTGCAACATTCTTGCAATGTGACAGAGAGATTAAGCACGCTCCATGAAGATGGACTAGACAGAGTATTGCCCTAATCTCTGGTGGGTCCTTCCCCTCCCTAAGCCTCAGTTTCCACATCTCTAAGATGGGGGTAACCCTCATCTTGCTGGGGGAAGCCAATGAATGACAGATGTAGCCTGCAAGGTCATGTCACAATGAGAGTTCAGTAGGGGGCTGGCCCCTGTGTGGCCTGTGGCATCCCTCCTTGCTTACCCAGCAAACCAAAGGTGAGCCCTCAGGGAAAGGCTCCTGAGGACTGAGAATCACAACAGCTAAAGGTAAATCCTGGACACTCCTGTTGCCTCACATCTCAAGTGATTGTTGTTTTTTTTTTTTTGTCCCCAGACTTGCAAAGCTAAAAACGAAAGGAAAACCTTAGGTGCTCATTAACTGCCTACTTGTTTCTTCCCAGCTCAGGTTGAATAAAAAAATCACTTGACTATAGTGTTTAGTAAGTCAAAAACACACATGCTGAATATTCATGGAAATTTTTTATGTTTCTAGGAAAAATACAAGAGTGGGGAGATGAGAAGCTAATTTTTTTCTCACACATTCTCAATTTCTTCACAGATTTAGGAGAAGAGGGAAAGGCTGAGTCCCACTGGATGGCAAAAGATCCGTGACCCCCCACCTCCACCCCCTCGCTTGCGCCTAGTCATGTAATTGGCAGCTGTTGCCTCTTGAGAAAAAGGGAAAGAAAATCCAGATGAAAGGTGTTTTGTTTGCAAGCTATCTCCCCAACAGAGCCTCGGGATTCCTGAAATTCAGTGTGAAACTATCATCTTCGTGATAACAAGTACTTTTACTAAAAGGATTTCCCCCATCACTGAGCTAAGGCCCTAATTGGAACTTTTAAACTCAATCTCTCAAGAAAAGAGGTTTTTCTTAAATGTTCTAAGGAAGTGAAATGGTGAGACTTTAACAAGCACCTGTTAAATCTGTTAAGTGTTAACTCCCATCAGTGCTGTTACTCACTGAATTTTAAGGCAGTCAAAATGCAGACATGGAAGAAAGTAAGATGATGGAGGGCTCTCTCCACCGGTGCCCTGCCGCTTACCCCCTCCTCGGGTGGCCTTATCCTGCACAATGCCCGCCACGGCCAAGTGTTTCTGCAGGCTGAGCTATAAACAAAAGACAGTAAAAGATGCCGGTGACCTTAACCCCAGTTCCAGACCCTCCTCCCAAGGTCATAAACAGCACTGAGAGCTTAAGTTTGAAGTTCCTATACCTGTCAGTTACTTTTAGCCAAAATATGCTGGCAGGTCCCTGAGCGCAGAGGTGGATTAACAGGCTCACACAGTATTGTGATACAAAAAGAAACCCTTACATTTGGAAGGTGACTGACAGTTTATTAAGCACAGCTCCAAATATCTGACCTCACAGCACCCAGCGACAACCCCCAGGTTGCCGATGGGGAGACACGGCTTCCTTTCTCAGTGACCGCAGTAACTTCTAGGTTCCTTCACACAGCTGTTCATTTTCATTGGTTTCATTTCTGTGCTCAGTGAGTGCCAGTGAGCACTTTAAAATATGCGACTCCAGATCTTAGAGGTCAGGGGGCTCTGGGAATAGAGTCTAAATTCTTCACCAATTGGTCAAGTCCAATCAAATACAACTGCTGACACTACGGACACCAGGAAGGCAGACTCGTGGCTCTGACCTGGTTAATCCAGTTCACACTGCCAGCCTAAGAAGCTCGACCCAGCTAAAAGGCTTCTGGTTACTATCAGGGTTGCAGGAGAGCACCCTTGAAGCCCCTCATACCAGGGAGTGGGGCTGCGCTGGGCAAGATGTGTGATGCATGTCGCCCTCTACACCCAGCAGTCAGAGAGAGCCCCAAGGCCAGCCCTCCTCTGTGGGGACCTGAAGACCTTTCCTCCTCACTTTCTTGGTCAGTTTTTTTTCAGTATCCACTCACTCTGGAGGGGGTGGGGGGGGCGAGGGGTGCTGAGGATGGGTTAACACAGATGGTGACCACCAGGAGGTCAGGGGAAGAGGGGGCTGGGACTATGGCAAGGAGAGTACTGACAGTTAAAGTGGGCGATCCGCTAAAGATCAGAGAAGCAGGTTTGTGGTGACAACTCCTGAGACAGGGGAGGAGGGTCCCCACGGGAAATATGAGAAGTGGGTGATGCCCAGGGCTGGGTGGAGGAGGCGAGGAAGCAAGAAAAGAGGAGAGTCACGGGGCAGGAGGGTGGCGGGGGTCGCTGTCTCGGAGTAGGGACCGCGATGGGGCAGGGGGCGGCGGAGGCTGAAGCCCGAGCGGAGCCGCGAGCACAGCCAAGGCGGCGGCGCTCAGCACGCAGCGAGCGCTGGGCGGCGGGGCCCCTCGGCCGGGCCGGGATGCGGGGCGCGGGCGGGGTCCTGGAGCATCCCGGGCGGCCGAGCCGCCGGGCGTGGGGACCGCGGGCCTGCAGCCGCCCGGCCCCCGCCTCCTCTCGCGCGCGGGGTCGGCCGCGCCGCGCCGCCCTCCCGCCCCGCAGCCCCCGAAGACGCCGCTTACCTGCGCCCCGGGCGCGCGGGCGACTGGGTGGCTGCCGGGTCCGGGCGACGCCGCTGCCCGAGGGCGCGGACGCCCCCCGCCCGCGCCGCGGAGCCACCGCCCGGACGCTGCCCGCCCCCCGCCGCCGCCGCCGGAGCCGGAGCCCGAGCCGAGCCGGAGCCCCCGCGGGTGCCGACGCCGCGCTGCGCTCCGCGGGGCCGCGCGGACCACAACTCCCACAATGCCGCGCGCGCCCGCCCGCCGCGGGGAGGGGGCGCGGGCGGGGCGGGGCTGGGCGGGGCCGGCGCGGGGACTGACTGGCCGGCCGGGGGGCCCGGGACCCCTCAGCCGGGCCGCGCGCGCCGGGAGCCGGGCGCCCCGAGACCGGCGGCTTTCGCCCCGGGGCGGGGCCCCGGCAGCCGGACGCGCCCGCGGGCGTGCAGCGGTTCCTCGAGTCGCGCCCCTCAGGCCACCGGCTCTCGCGTCGCCGTCTCTCTCCTCTCGCCCGTCGTCTCCCCGCGCTCGCCCGCGGCGGCGGCCCCTCGCGCCGGCCGGCCGTCCCCTGCCGCCCGCGCGCCCCCTTCTTACTCTCTTTCACTTTCCCGCCGCGTCCCGCGCGAGCCCCGCGAGCCCAGCGCCCCTCTTCCTCCACGGCTTCGGCGTGACGCGCGCGCGGCCTCGCAGGCGCCTACACCGCGCGCGGCTTCCGGCGCGGGAGGACGCGGCGGCTCGGGGAAGGGAGCCCGGGGCGGCCCGGCCTCCGGGGGCCGGGGCTCTCCAGGCGGTTCAGACAGGGCGCCGGCGGCGAGGAGCTGGTGTTGGGGTGTCATGGGCTGGGGGGGCGGGGAACGCCCAAGCGGCCCGTGGGCAGATCTGCAGTCACCCGCCCCGGCGGAGGGGTCGGAGGGGAAAGCCCGAGGGGTCGGAGGGGAAAGCCCGAGGGGACGGTGGGAAAGTGTTACGGGGGCGCCGTGAGCGGGTGAGGCCCCGTGAGGCGGGCGTCTAGGCAGGCGTCTCTGAGGGCGCCGTCTGCGCGAGGCCTGTGGGGGATTAAGGGGCTCTCTGAGGGCTCCAGGGGGCATGGAGCAGGGCGGCCCGCCACGGCCCGTCTGCGCTGTCCCAGAACTCACGCGTGCCGGGCCCTGACCCAGCTCTGCCCTGTCCCCGAACCTGCCTCTACCGCGCGCCGGACCCACGTCTACCCGGCCCCAGAATCCACTCTACCATGTCCAGAATCCACTCTACCGTGTCCCAGAATCCACTCTACCGTGTCCCAGAATCCACCGCTACCATGTCCAGAATCCACTCTACCGTGTCCCAGAATCCACTCTACCGTGTCCCAGAATCCACCGCTACCATGTCCAGAATCCACTCTACCGTGTCCCAGAATCCACTCTACCATGTCCCAGAATCCACCACTCTACCATGTCCCAGAATCCACTCTACCGTGTCCCAAAATCCACCACTACCATGTCCAGAATCCACCACTACCATGTCCCAGAATCCACTCTACTGTGTCCCAAAATCCACCACTACCATGTCCAGAATCCACTCTACCACGTCCAGAATCTACTCTACCATGTCCCAGAATCCACCACTACCATGTCCAGAATCCACTCTACCGTGTCCCAGAATCCACCACTACCATGTCCAGAATCTACTCTACCATGTCCCAGAATCCACCGCTACCATGTCCCAGAATCCACCACTACCATGTCCAGAATCCACTCTACCGTGTCCCAGAATCCACTCTACTGTGTCCCAAAATCCACCACTACCATGTCCAGAATCCACTGTACCACGTCCAGAATCTACCATGTCCCAGAATCCACCACTACCATGTCCAGAATCCACTCTACCGTGTCCCAGAATCCACCACTACCATGTCCAGAATCTACTCTACCATGTCCCAGAATCCACCGCTACCATGTCCCAGAATCCACCACTACCATGTCCAGAATCCACTCTACCGTGTCCCAGAATCCACTCTACCGTGTCCCAAAATCCACCACTACCATGTCCAGAATCCACTCTACCATGTCCCAGACCCACCTCTACCATGTCCCAGAGCCCCGTTTGTCCCCGACCCAGAACCCAAGTCTACTGTGTACCAGAGTCCACATATACTATGCCCAGGGATCTACCGTGTCTCTACCCAGAGTTCACCTCTAAGGTGTCTTAGAATCCACTTTTCTTGTCCTCTTTCCCCTTTTCTTAACTCTTAAGAAGGAAGAACATATATTTTCTCTTTTATTCTACTAGAATAAACCAAAATACATATATTGGGAAACCATAAGCTGTACCACATTTGCAAGAAGTGTGGGTAATCAGCACAGACATTGGATTTAGAAACTTTAAAGAAGACATCTGTCTTCACTGCCAATCTCAGAATGATTGAGCCTAGGTAGGATGAAGACGCTGGGAGAGCATTTGGTCATCTCATATTCAGAAAGTTACTGAAATTTAGGTTTCTCCAAAGGTGCTTATATATGCAGTCATAGCATATCACTGACAGGATTATAAAAGAAAAATATTCTTCATGGAGTTGCAAATATGTGTTCCATGCCTGGACACACCATCTGTAGTACATTATGAATTAATATTGTCTACAGATCCTGTAATTATCTTTGACCAGTGCAATTATATTGCTCTGTATTTGTTGAGTATTTATTTGTTCAATAGCAATATATTACCATAGACACAATTTTGCTTAACCCTACTTGCCATTTCTTCCTCTTTTCAATTTGCTGGGAGTCTCAAAAAAAAAAAAAAAAAAGGAAATGACCCCAGGAGGTGAGTTCCTCAAAAAAAGGGTATCTGACCTTCTGGTGGGGCCAGGAGTTGAGTGAGAACCCCAGATAAATTGTCCCTGTGCTAATGGAGGAGCTGAGCTGAAGACCAAGTGCATCTAAATTGCTTGCCTTCAGCTTGCCAGCCACCCGCCTGCTCCTCCTGCCTCTGTCTTCTCTAGGGCAGTGCTTCCCGACCTACTCACAAGCTGCACACCCTATCATTAAGCCATCACTTACGCTAGTACCGTCCACCCAACTCCCTCCTCCTACAGATTGGAGGCACCGGGGGTCCAGAGAGAAAACATGCCTTGCTCAGATGAGGTTACAGCTAGATGGAGGGGGAATGTGTAGACTCTCTAGAAAATGCTTGATTTGTACATTTAAAGAAATCGATGTGGGCATATCAGAGAGCACTTTCGTAGTATTTGTTAGAACAACAAACACATATACCTTAAGCACTAACAATTGTACTCTATATCTACACTAGAGAAATTCTAGGGTGCAAAGGAATCATTATGTTTTCATATATATACTGTTGTTCAGCTATTAAAAAGGAAAAGTTGGAGGCATATGTAACAATATGGATAAAACTCCTAAATAAAAAATAGAGGAAACAAAGCAGAACTATACGTGCAGTATGATTTAATCTACTAATCTAATTATAACACACACACACCAAAAAAAAATCACTCTATAGTCTGTGCATATGTACATTTATATTAAAGCAGGGGGAAAGCACTAGAAGAATACATTAGTATGTTCTCCTTTTGAAAACTTAAGATAATTACCTTGTTTGAAAATGAAGACTATTCCTCAGAGAAAGTATGCCAAATTTCTGTGTTATAGTTTCTCAGGCGGCCAAGAAAGAATGAGAATTGGGCACAGTGGACAAGGGGAACTTTAGCATTTTCTGGAATGTTTTAATTTGATTGACTATTTTCAAAAGGATTTATTGTTCCTGGAACAAAATGTAGCAAGGACAAATGATTACCAGGACAAACTCTCTGATTCCTTAACCTTTAGACAATCATTATCTTATCCGTCTTTCCAGGAATATGCTATGCATTTGCAAGTATATGGATGTATTTGAACTTTGAAATAGAAATATTAGTATGTTACTTGTGATATTAAAAATACTTCAATAAAATTTTATTACCTTAAAAATGATTTTTCAGGAGTGGAGAATTGTTCAACACCAGAAAATTTTTTGATAGACTCATTATATTAACAAGTTAAAGGAAAGGACCTATATAATCCTTTCAATAGATGTAGAAAAACAAATTGACAAAATTCCAAAATCCGTTAATGATTAGAAACTCTCAGCAAACAAGGAATTGAAGGAAGGTATGTCAACCTGAGCAGCAGTATTTACGAAAAACCTACAACTAATGTCATACTTGATGGTTGGTTGGCTATTGAATGCTTTCACACTAAGATTGGGACTAAGACAAGAATATTCGCTGTCACCATGTCTATCAACCATCATGCTGAACCTTCTGACCTGTGCAATAGGGCAAGAAAAAGAAATGAGACATTTAGAAAAATAATAGAAAAAAAAATTCATAGTAGTAACAACAAAACTGTAAAGAATTTAGAAATGAATTTAACCAAAATGGGGAAGATGAAAAAAAGTGAAATAAATATTTTGAAGGGCACAGGGTAAGATGCGGATAATGGCAATAGATGTAAAATTCATGGATATGAAGATGGGAAATATATATTTCAAATATATATATAGATTCATGAAGTAGAAGATTCATGAAATAGAAATAAATTCTCGTGAAAATCCCAATGTTTTTAGTACAAAATAAACTGATCATAAAATTTATATAGAAAAGCAAAGGGCCACGAAAGCTAAAGACTAAGTGAAACTATCCGTAAAAACAAAATGAAACTACCTAGAAAGGATATGGGCAGGCAATTCACGCAAGAGCAAACACAAGTGGCCAATGTACATATGGGAAGGGCCCTTGACACTGTTCATCATGGAAATGCGAATTAAAACCACAAATTAAAATCAACATATCAGTTTAATACCAAAACTTGGTGGGCTGCAGGTGCTCTTGCACACAGCTAGGAGAGCACACATTTGCACAAACACTCTGTCCTTCTCTGCTAAAGTTGAGGGTGTGCATATTCCCCCAATCCTGCCATTCCACTTCCTGGTATTTTTCTAACTGGAGCTTTTGTTTATGATTGTGAAATTGGTAGAGTGAGACGTGACCACCATTTAAAACAATAAACTAGAAGTCAGGAAAGTGTT